TAAAAAACCAATTAATAAAAATAAAAGTTGATATTATATATATATATATATATCTTTTAAAATTCGGTTCGGTTCGGTTTGAACCGCGATTTTTTCATAAAATCCATTAACTGAACCGTTTTTACGGTTATCATATTTCTTAATCCGAAACCGAACCAATTCTTAATAGAACCAAACCAAACCGTATGATTCGGTCTGGTTCGGTCCGGATTATCGGTTTGAACGGATTTTTGAACAGCCCTAATATTATATGAATAATCAATCTTAGACATATATACATATATATATAGAAAGAGAGAGAGAGAGAATGAATATGCAAAAGTTAGCAATGGTCAAGTCCTAGCCTCCTCCCTCCGAATCAGGATCTCCTCCTTGAGTTGCCTCATTGACTTTCTACTTGCTAGGTTATTGGGCTTACTTTTAAGCCCAATTTCGATGATTCAAACTGTTTACATTTTAAGATTTGTTGAGCATATCATACCTGTAAAAAATCAAGTTGATCGGATATCAAAAAGCATGTGTTCTGAAAACTGTTTATTAAATTTTTTTAAAAAATAGTTTTTAGATCGATGATCCGAACACATGCTTTCTGATATTCGATCAATTTGATTTTTTACAGGTATGATATAATCAATAAATTTTAAAATGTGAACGGTTCGAATTATCAAAATTAACCCTAAAAGTGAACCCAATAATTTAGCAAATAAGAAATCAAGTAAGAAACTCAAGGAAATCCCCTCCCTCCACACTTGGTTGTGATAACCCAACCTAATTGATTTGACTTAATACAATATTATCCACTTTGCCCACCATATGCGCTCATACTAGCCAACACACAATGCTGTTCTCCCCAAAATTCTTTAGAAAAATGCCTCATACTAAGATGGTTGATGATACCACACATATAACAGTTTCAATACATCTTCCCTCCATGCAATGTAGGACAAATTGAGGTCTATTCCATGGCATTAGTTGAGATGCAATGATAAAGTTTTAGTATTTAGAATGAGCCCACTTAAATGATATGATAAGAACAATTCAACTGTCTAATCTATGAAAAAAAATATTTTTTAAAACTTGTATATTTATTTAAGAAATCATAACTTTGTGAAGGTAAGTCTAGTAAAATAGTTTTCTTCTTTTATTTTATTTTTTCTTTTTTTTCAATGTTCGGGTAGCCATAGTTTGTATTTCAAGGGGTAAAAAGGTGTTTCAGTCAGTTTCATTTCAACCTTCAAATCTTAAATTTAAATGCAGTTCACAAAAATGTAATCCTAATGTCAAACTGCTAACATGAACAAAATTAAAAACAAATCATCAAAACTCTAATTATTCACATTCAACACAACTTGCAATTACTTAATTTGTTAAATGTTAAATTCAAATATATTTAAATAAAATTCAACTCAACATTAGACACATTTCACCTAATCTATCCATAACAATAACGGTTAAACAAATGTTAGTAAAAATAATCACAATTCAACATAACTTAAACACAAATTTGCAAATCAACAATGGACAAGTTTAGAAAAACAAAGTTGTCAATTAGAGCAACTGGTAAGAATCTTTTAATCTAGCAAGTTTAATCATATTAATTTCAAGTTATTTTGTAGCAAAAAAATGCAGAAAAACAAAAAGAAATAAATCATATAGTGACAAGGATTTACATAAAACACCCAAACTTGGAGAATCCTACAAACAGCACATTTACTAGAAACAATATCAATTACAAGACTAGATACTAATCACATCAACCCGCACAAATAAAATATTCCAAGCTTCAAGCTCAATCAATAAATGTGAAAATACTTAGGCCTCGTTTGGGAATCCTCCCGTTTAGCCAAAAAACTAAAAAATTACTAAAAAAGTCGAAAAGCCAACCAAAAAGTCAAATATTCTCTTTTCTCTCTACTTTTTGCACATCTTTTTGTAAAAAGTTAAAAAGTCATCCCAAACATAATAGTTTTGTTTATCTCATATTTTACTTAAATAGTCAAAAAATTACTAAATTAGCCTGTTCCCAAACGAGACCTTAGTCTATGTGTCTTAGACCTAGCAATCATCTCTCAATAATATGAAAGAATTCACAAAGAAAAGAGGAATATATGAAACTCTCTCAATACTCAATGTGTACTCAACTCTTTGAATCACCCTAACAAATAAGTCAAGACATGTATAGAAAAACCTAAGCGAACAAAGGAATCAAGATCCAACAACGATTTTATTAACCCGCATTGATGATCGAATTGTCCATAAGATTGTTGCACGCAATACACCATGCGTTTGAATGAACATCACTACATTCGAATGATCAATGTGCTTGAATTGTTGCATAAAGAAATATCCATTTTTGTTAGAATGGTATCACTTTGCGTTCAAACACACAAGGTGCTGATGAGTTATACACAAAATACAACATTCTAAATTCATACTATTCAATAATCAAGTTCATAGGTTCTAAAAGCCAAACCCAAAAGCTAACATGGCCTATTTATTCATTATTTTTCATGTCAAAGAACACCAACTGATCCACATTGTCATCCAACACAAAGGCTTATTAATAAACTGTGTACACGTAATAATTTAAAAAATAAGCATATCAGTTAAGTTAAGACTGAATAATTTGTACCTCATGAAAATCGGATATAAGATCACTAAAAATTACCCATAACTCATAGCAAAGCTCCCATGTTCAATTCCTTAGCCACTAGGCCACCATGCAAGTTTCGTATAGTTAAAAAAACTAAACTACGTTTATTTACCTCATAGATAGTTTGACAATTGTTCCTTTTTTTTTTTTAGTTGCTAAAAAACTTAACATGTTAAGTAAATGCTAAAAAAGTTAATTTTTTTTTTTTTTGGTTATTGAGAAATTCCTCAACTTTTTAAATGAAAAACATGTTTTTTTTGGACTTAAATAACTAGAAAATGACCTCCTTTTGGAGAAAGGGTCACTGCTGTGACTTCCTTCCTGCTGTGCCTATTGTGCGACAAAAACGTTGCCATTTTATGTTTTTTTTTTCTTTATTGAAAAACAAACTCAAGCGATACACATAGATCGAAAAACACACCATTTGATGTGGTTAGATTCTGAAGCTCGTCATAAGAGGCAGCGAGGCCAGTCGTCCGCGTGGAGTCAACTCCGGCTTATAATTTTAGTTTAAACCAAAAGAGAACCTTGATTCATTTGGGAAGTCACTCTTCGTTTATAAATATTTTTTTGACTTTTTACCCACAAAAAAAAGAAAAGAAAAAAAAAAGTGAGTGTAGATATGTAGAGAGAATGAAAATATTTTTTTAATTTTTTTGTATAATTTTTTAAATTCTTTGTGTCTAAATTAATTTTTTGTGAAACCACCCAAAATAAGCCCACGAGACTAATAAACCATAAGGCAATTGGACCGTACTATTCAAGCTTATGGGGTCCTAACTCGATGATTTGAATCATTTATTTTTTAAATCACAACGTGTAGATCATTTATGAAAAAAAATCAAATCGATCCGATATGTTTAGTAATTGCTAAAAAAGTTGATTTTTTTTGGTCATTGTGAAATTCCTTATCTTTTTAGCTGGAAAACACCTTTTTTTGGACTTAAATAACTAGAAAGTGACCTGTTTTTTCACTTATAATTTTAGGCTAAGTTTGGGAAGTCCCAAATAAGCTAAAAAGCCAAAAAGTTACTCAAAAAGCTAAAAAGTTAATACTATTCACCAAAAGTCAACAATTACGGCTGCACAACTCCCAATTCAAATTTTTCTCTACAAATCAATTTTTACAATTTTTTATTACACATTTTTCAATAAAAAGTCAAAAAGTTAACCCAAACATCCATATTTTCAACCTCAATTTTTTAGTCTAAAAAGACAAAAAGTACACTTTTTTAGTCTTCCCAAACTTGGCCTTAGTTTAAACCAAAAAGAACCTTGATTCATTGGGGAAGCCAATCTTCCTTTTTAAATAATTTTTTGACTTTTTTTTAAAAAAAAAAAAAATCAAAACAAAACAAAAAACAAAAGTGTAAATATGTAAAGAGAATGAAAATATTTTTTAATTTTTTTTTTTTTGTATATTTTTAAAAATTCTTTAAGCAATTTTTTGACTAAATTAGTTTATTCCAAAACCACCCAAAATAAGCCCGAATGACTAACAAATGATGAGGCAACTGGACCATTCTGTTCAAGCTTGCGGGGTTCATCACAGGTCTTAACTCGATAATCTGAATCATTCATTTTTTAGACCATAACGTGTAGATCATTCAAAAGAACCTTGATTCATTGGGGAAGCCACTCTTCCTTTTTAAATATTTTTTTGACTTTTTTTTTTTTAAAAAAAAATCAAAACAAAACAAAAAACAAAAGTGTAAATATGTAAAGAGAATGAAAATATTTTTTAATTTTTTTTTTGTATATTTTTTAAAATTCTTTAAGCAATTTTTTGACTAAATTAGTTTATTCCAAAACCACCCAAAATAAGCCCGAATGACTAACAAATGATGAGGCAACTGGACCATTCTGTTCAAGCTTGCGGGGTTCATCACAGGTCTTAACTCGATAATCTGAATCATTCATTTTTTAGACCATAACGTGTAGATCATTCATGAAAAAAAACCAAGTCGATCCGATAATCAAAATGATATTATTTTATGATATTTATTTGCAAAAAAAAAACTGACAAATATTATTTAAAAACTAGATCATTCATTTTTTGAGAGATAAATATAATAAATTAATGTGATTACGATTATCGAATCGACTTAATTTTTTTTCTAAATAAAAATAAATGATATTATTAAGATAAGACTCATGGTGAACCCACAGACTCGAACAGCATGTCCAAAAAATAGATGGGAGACAAGCTGATCCTGAAGATAAAGCCCACCTTGGCCCATGTAATGATTATCCTCATAAAAGGGTAAAAGTCCAAAATGACTTCAAGACCAATGGGCCAGGCCACCCCTCCGGCCCACTTTCCCATCATTCATTCTCTCTCCACATACACACACACACACACACATATATATATCTGTATATTTTCGTCCCAATCCACAATCGACAGCTCTTCGTCGCCGCTCGAACCCAACAACGCACCTTCATTAGCAACAACAACGCCATCGACAGTCGCTTGTGCTCTCTGAGATTCATACAAGGTTCGTAATTGCGATTCATATTCGTCTCTGCAATGTTTTTACGTATCTGTTTGGTTCCCTCTATACCTAGTTCGATCCCTCTTTCTAGGGTTTGGACGGACATGTATGTTTGTCGATGAAATCAACATCTTTTGATATATATATATATATTGTTTGACATGTTAAGGTTAATGTTCATGTGCAGGAACTTGGTTTGATTTGGATTTTATGAGCATGTACTCGTCGCGAGGGGGCCAACAACAGCCCTATGCTTCGCAATCTGCTGCTTATGCTCAGAATGTGAGTTTTTCAATTCTCACTGCCATTCTTTTATTTGAATATGCTTTCAACATGTTGGATACTGGGTTTAGTTCATCTCCAGGTTTTATTCCAATTTTTGCTCAAATTTGTGTAAAAGCTTTGTTTGATGTGAACCCTTGACTCAAACCTATATCAAATTTGAATTTGGCTAAAAATCACTTAAAAACCTGTCAACCCCTTGAATCAAACTTGTGTCAAATTGAGTTTGACCCTTTTTTTCTTTTACCCAAATCAAGAGATTTGGAGAGAAGAGAAATAAAATTGAGAGAAATGGATTTCAATCATTTGTTTGGATTACCAAATACGAGCGAAATGGAGAAAAACACATTTCTCTCATAATCCCTATTGTCAATATCTCCAAAAATGGAGAGATTAGGAGAGGGAGAGAAATGAATCCAACCAAATATTATTTTGTTATAATACCAAAATTAGCTTTTTAGATATAGAACAAATAAACCTATAAAAGTTTAATTTGGTAATATAACATTATATCATTTTTTTTCCTCTTTCTTTTATATAGTTTAACCAAACAAGATATGGGAGAAATCAGTATCATTTTTTTTTCCTTTTCTCTCTTATCTATCCAAACAAAAGGGAAAGAAATCACTATAGTTTCTTTTCTTTTCTTTTCTCTATTAAGAATATGTTTGGGGTAAACTAAAAAAGTGCATTTTTTTTAACTACACACTTGTTTGGGTCACATCAATCAACATCTATCAACATCTCTCTATTTTTCTAACCACTTTCTCTATTTTTCTGCACATTTTTTTTTATGTAAAAAGTCAAAAGTGCACTTGTTTAGAACATCCTAAACCACCCCTAAGTTACCAAACATAGTGTCTATATGTACTCAAAATTTTCAAGACCTTTACAACTTTTCCATTACCAAAGCTTTTACTCAAACTTATGCTTAAATATGAGTTTGTCCATTTGAGTGCTTTATATTAAATAAAGTGTTCACTGATGGCAGAGTGGTAAATTTAAAAGCCACAGAATAGCCTTGAAATTTTTGACTAAAAGCTTTATTAGATATGAAGCACTCAAATGGACAAACTGAGATTTAAGCATATATTTGAGTAAAAGTTTCACTAATGGCAGAGTGGTGAATTGAAAATTCAGAAAATAGCCTTGAAAATTTTGAGTAAACATTTTAGTCTTCCTTGATTTGAGGAAAAAAATACAAGTAAAGCTCATTTTGATATGAGTTTGAGTAAAGGAAAAAAGGGTTGGACCTATGTTACCAGAAAACGCTAATACTCTAGCGAATTACGTGTTGGTACGCATGTTCTGAAACATAATACACTTTCGTTCCAAAACAGTAAATTAAGTGATCCAAAGTGATCCCAAATTTTTTTTCCAATATATTTCTCTAAATGTTATCTTAGGAGAAAAAAATCAAATATATGAATTAAAATCTAAGGTGAGTTAAATTTTGATAAGAGAAAAATATAAAAAACGAGTCATAATTTTCATAAAAATGATTTGCTATATGAAAATATATATATTGGATACCTAATAGTTAAAAGAAAATTATTCTAAAAATACCTTAAATTCTTAAGTGCAATATATATATATATATAAGTCAAGTCTACTCCTATCCTATCGTACCACATTTTGGAGCATGTGGCGTACCACGTTCCCGTTCCCGTTCCATGTACCGGAACAATCCAAGTTTTAGGTAACATAGGGCTGGACATGCTTTGTGAAAATACAATTTTCTGTAACTTAAAACCCAAAACAAAATGAGCACAGAAGCAGACTCTGGGAGCATATATGGATTCTGCTTCCCTAAAATGATTAAAGTTTCAAAAACTTTGTGGCTTACTTACTGAAACCATTCTTGCATTGTGTTGAATTTTTAATAATGTGTTGAATTTTTCCTTTCTTGCATCATGTCATGTCATGTCATTTTATTTTTATTTTATTTTATCACACTTTTTTCATATCTGTTATAGTTGATGCCTGCTTATGCTGGGAGTTCTGTTGGAGGACCTGATGGGACCTCTCAACTATCTATGGCTTCTCGGCACTCATCAATGTTAGGCGGTCCTCAGGAATCAGATATCACTGGATATAGAGGTCATCCCTCCGCTGGAGCTCATTATGGTGGGCAATACAGTTCTGTTTATGGATCTGCTGCTTTGAGCAGTGGTCAACAGGTCAGCCGATTTTACTTGATTGTTATGTGTGAATCAATTTTTAATAAGGAGGTGGCATGTGATGTAGCACTTAGTCATCCCCATACTTGTAGAGAGTCAAAGTTGTCCACAAAAAATGAATGATTTTTTATTCAAAAATAGGTTTCCCAAAAATTAAAAGATTGAACAGTTAATTAAGAAAGGCCTTCTGATCAAGTCTGTTGATGAACCATGTTGATTTCAATGTTAATGGCTTTGAATTGCATTTTTTTTTTCTTGTTCAATATTTCTCTCTGCCTGCTTTACATTGCTTTTGTAGTCTTCAAACCCAATGAGGGTGTTTGTTTGGACTTTTTTTAGCCAACTTATAGCTTTTAGCTTTGGAAAAGTTATTTTGGACTGTTTGGTTAAACTTATTTTAACAGCTTCTGATTCTAACAACTTATTTTAACTCAAAAAAGTTGATTCTGAGAAGTTGCTCACCCCTTACTTCTGATTATCAGCTTCTGTTATGGACATGTTAATTTACGGTTATACTCTTAAGATTTTTTTTTATTTTTTATTTTTTTAAAAATAGAAAAAGACCCAAATGGGCTATAGATTATTATTATTATTATTATTTTTTATGAGAAATGTAGACAATTAGTGAATAACAAAAAATAAAAATTAATTAAAAAAGTTATTTCACTGCTTATTATAGCAAACACTACTTAACAACTTAAATCTATAATCCAAGAGTTACATCAAACAGATTAATAGCTTCTGATTAAAGTCATAATGTATAATTTGTTAAGCTATAATCTATAATCTGTTTTGCTATAATCTATAATCTATAATCTGATTTAATAACTACATCAAACGGGGCCAATCTCTTTCAGAGTTCAGACATGCATGTCCACATGGAACTCTCTTGCACACAAACTTCAATACTCTGTCCGTGAATGTGGGATACTTCAATATCCAAAAATTTTTATTGGCACACCTGTTTTTTATTTTATTTTTATTTTTATTTTTATCAGGCAACAAATAGTTACATTAGAAAACATGCTGAGGGGGCACAATCCTTGTACAATGAGAGAATGAAGAAAAAAGAAAAAAAAAAAAAAGTACATAGCAAAGATCCAACACTTGAAACAACCCATACACTTTGGAATGCAGCCAGTTTAACTGTGATCCTCAGCTGAGCTGTTTTGACAGTTCAACAATGTGCGTTTGGGGTTTCATTAGTTGTTGATTTCTTGGGCCAGCCATCTTGCACTATTTGAAACCATACATATAAATTCCTTTGCTATCTTTTTCTCTACAGGTTTCTGGAATGAGTGCCAAAGGAGCTGGGCCATCTGCTTTGGAAGGTCGTAGTGGTTATGGCTCAGCTATGCCAGATTCACCAAAGCTCCCAACTGGTGACTTTGTATCATCATCAAGCCATGGATATGGCCACAAAAGTGAGAAATTATTCTCTGATAAAATTTCTGATTATTCATCAGTTGACAGGCGCCAATATGCTGAGCGACAGAGTGCATATGTAGGGAGGGATTTGCAGAATGTCCCAACAGGTCGATTTGGTGATTCTATGAGTTTTGCTCATCAGCATCAGGTGTAGTGTTCTCTTCTCGTGTCTTCTCTTTAAGTTTTTAATAATTTTACCTTTTTTGTTCTGCAAATAATATTAATTTGTTTTGACTTGGTGGTTTATTTTTAAAGATTAGTTTTCCCTTCCATTATTTTATATTGTATGCATGTTCTTGTTTCTGTAACAGACAGACATGTATGATCGCATGGATCAGGCATCACTACTTCGACAGGAACAGCTGCTCAAGGCTCAATCACTTCAATCTGCTTCTCTTGACGGTGGTTCCAGGTATTCTTTGTTAATGGAGTTTTATTGTATACCTGTTTAAGTTGCAACATGGTACGTGTTTGATAGCAAGTGGTTGTCATTTTTATTTGATACTCTTCTCCAACCTATAGCCAGCATAAGTAATCCATGCCACTTCTATGACACGAGACACCTATTTCAATGGTGATACTATACTGTTTGTGCACAGATATGCACATCTGTGCACAACTTTGTAGTTGGCATCATATTTTCTACTGCACTGAGTAGCAACACATTTCTGGCAGACAAGCTGATTATCTTGCAGCAAGGGGGGCTAGTATTCGTCATCCAGCACAAGATCATATGTCTTTTGGTGGAAGAATGGACGCTGATCCTCGCAGTTTATCAATTTTAAGCGGTTCATCATATGGTGGACAACACACTCCGTCAATTTTAGGGGCAGCTCCGCAGAGAAACGTGGATGATCTCATATATGCTCAAAGCTCTTCAAATCCAGGTTATGGAGTTAGCCTGCCTCCTGGTAGGGATTATGCTACAGGAAAAGGGCTTCATGGTGCATCCCTTGACGCGGATTACCCAGGTAGCTTGTTGGCACGCAGTGGTCATTCAAGGATTGATGAGCGTAATGATGATAGGGGAGTATATGCTCGGGAGCTTGAGCGAAGGGAGGAGGAGCGTCGTAGGGAGCATTTGCGTGATAGAGAAAAAGACAGAGAAAGGGAGAAGGAACGGGAACGAGAACGAAGACGGGAAAGAGAGCGTGAAAGGGAAAACATTTTGGCACGGCGGGAGAAAGAGAGAGATCGTGAACGCGAACGTGGAGCTGAAATTAGGCGCGAACGTGGAGCTGAAATTAGGCGCGAACGAACTCCACCCAGAATCTCTAAGTCTAAGGACCGGTCTGAACGGCGTGGTTCCTCATTGACAAAGGATGCCAAGCCTGCACGAAGAGATCCGCCACGTACTGAAGCTTTGCATAGGTGGATCTTGTTGTTTACTTTTGCGTCCAGTTCTGTTTATATAGCTGCTTGTATTACTTGCAGCCTTCATAACTAACTTGGTGTTCTGTCATGCTGAAGGCGCCATTCACCTGTTAAAGAAAAAAGGAGAGAATATGATTGCAAGGTAAAAAGCTATACAAGAGATTTGTCATTGAATGAATGTCAGAACGTATTCCTTCTAAGGATCTGGCACTTCTCTGTGGTGTTTGGCGTCAAGGGCCTTGTGCCCTTGTTCTTGCTGTTTGCTTTTGAGTTGGGTGTTTTATAGAGAGTACACTTCATGTAGGCTTTTGTTGTCTCCAAATTGATTTTTTACTTCCTTCAGAATTATTGTCTAGTCTTTCCTTTTGAGGACCTCTGTTTTTTTTGATTCTTTACCTATAAACATTTCTTTTATTTCAGATGGTTTCCTGTTATCTCAAGCCTGTAGATTTGGTGTTTGACTTCCTTGAGATGAATTTCTGCTATTTTTGAGCACCGCCAGCTTCAATTTTTTTACTTCCTTCAGAATTGTTGTTTACTCTTACTTCTTGAGCTCTGTCATTTCTTTTTGATCATGGCCCTTCGAAAACTTCTTCTATATCATTTTGCTTTCTAAAGTCCTTTGGCTCTGGTTTGACTATTTACTGGGGCCTTGTTTGGTAAAACTTAAAGTTGACTGCGCATTAAATAAAATTACAAACCCAGCGTCTTAAAAGTTGGCCTATTGAGCTGAATACCTTAGAAGTTTTACTAAAAACCCTACCTTTTTGAAGTTCAAATGCTTAAACATGTGATTTTAAAATTTAAGCGAAAAAGCTTGAAATAAGTTTTACCAAATGGGGATCTTGATGAGTTTTGTTTTCTCCTTGCAGTTTCATGCCTCCTAAATATGCGTCTTTATCCTTCGATTCTCTCTATAACACTCTTTTAGTTTCTCAGTTGGTATTCTCTGTGACATCTTTTGCTGGTTTCTTTGGCCTTTTGTATTCATACATAGAACCTTAAGCCGGATTCTAGAAATACTTTGTTAGTTGTTTCATGTTCTTATTTGAATGTGGATGGCTATTAGTCTTTCTTCTACTATAGTCATCGCAGTATGGAATTTCCTTTTGAGAAAAAAGATTTCTACTTTAGAAACATAGAGGGTTGGTCATGTGAAATTCTGTGTCTATTTTTCTTCACTTGTTTGACGTATGTATATATTTTTACCAAATAAGATACATTTAGCGCATGTTATATGCTTTCTGAATGCTTATGGATTTCAGTCTTTATGGAAACCAATGCTGTCCATGCAGGTTTATTCATCTAGTTTGGTAGATGTCAAGAGGGATTATTTGTCACTAGACAAGCGATATCCCAGACTTTTTATTTCTCCAGAATGCTCCAAGGTCTTCTAACTAATTTAAATCTCAAAGGAAAAACCCTTTTAAATTGTTTGATAAAGTTGTTTTGTTGTTGACATTTTTACTGTCTATAGGTTGTTGTGAACTGGCCAAGGGAGAGTCTCAGACTTTCCATCCATACTCCTGTCAGGTGCCTTGTTATTTTTGTGACATTTTTTTTTTGCCTCTTCTCTTCTTGCCATCTCTAAAACAAAAAGGTTATTAATAATTATTAACTTAAAGAAATTAAATGAGACAAGGATAACAGTCTGGTTCTATGTGGGATGGAACAGTTTTGAGCATGATTTTGTTGAAGAGGATACTGGAGCTGACCAGAAAGAACGACCTGCCATACCTTCAGCTGATGAACCTGTGAAATCAGAAAGGGGAACTACTGTGTGGAATGCAAAGGTAGATGATAGCTAAACACTAAAATTAAAAGTGAAATTGATCTTGTTGCACATACATGGATGTGTTAGAAATGCTGCATCTAGCATGCATAACACAGGGAAGGGATTAGACCGAATATTTCTGTGGAGCTGGTATGATAGGAAGATCAGTAACTACTGTGGAAATATATAGCTGGTTTTTTTTTTTGTCTTACGTAAAATAAGAAAGTTTGAATCTTCTATCAATTGCTTGTCATGCAAAGTTTTTGGCTGAGTTGATATGTTGTCAGCTTATTGAAATTAAATCTGAAGTATTCAAGAATGGAGGGTGATGCTTAAAGCATTAAACTATTGAATAGGTACATTTCTGTTTGGAAAATTTTATTTGTTGCTTATTTGGCTTTAGTTTTGAAATTTTCATGTTTAAGCAGCTGTGCTTTTGAAAAGTTGGGGTGTTTGGTAAAACACTTCAGGTTTTCATCTTGTTTGCCTTTTCAACTTAAAAAGCCAACTTTTTTGAGGGGTTATGAGATGCTTTTCTTGAGCTGGCTTGTTTTAAACTGCAAATAAGTTTTCACAAAAGAGCTCTATATTCCATTTAGTGTATCTTCGATGCCTTGAGCACATACCTGCAGACAATTTGATCTCCTGCTCCTGCTATCTTCAGGAGCAAATGGCCATTTCACCCTAATGTTGTTTGGGACCAAAGTGCAATGCTAACTCTGTTAATGATATATGCAAAATCACTTTAATACCCTCTCTCTCTCTCTCTCTTTGTTTTTTTTTCCCTTCTCCTATCTTCTCTTTCTCTCATCTGCTAACTACATAGTAACCCGTATTCTCATAATTGTTTTACCCAATTTCTAGCTTAACTGCATATTAAGCCAATTTTTAACTTCACATATATATATCTAATGTGTGTATAATACAAATGGGTTGTCTCAAATGATGATAGAGGCATCATAGAGGCTTACAACATGCATTTAGTGCTGTCAATGGCGTTATACTTTCTGCAGGTGATCAAGGCTTGCACTATATTTGGAGATGCCAATTTCATGATTTGTTATGTACTGGTGACAGGCAATGGCATTTAAATGCAAAAGCAAGGGCAACTGGAAGAGCGTTAGAGATTAGTTGAGTTTGATGAAGATTGATCACATTGGCTTTGCTTTTGGAGGATTCTAACCTTGGCAAATAAAATTAGCATTGTGGAAGTACATGATGCTTTTGGAACTCTAAATATTCTAGTTAATTTGAATTTAATAAGATGTATGTGTTTGTTAATGTTTTGAGATATTATCAGGTTAGATGGAACAGCCAAATCCCATGAACCATTTTGGTTATGTAGTGGTTAGATCATCTGAATGCAGTGATTTTTTTCTTGTGTGCGACCTTCTGCTTTGATCTTATAAGGAATTTGAGATGACCTGTTTGCATAGGGAGGCAGTGTTGGTGGAGGGGAAGAAGATGAAGTCAACAGTTAGGGTTATGACAAGGGTTTAATTGTCTTATTGTAATGTAATTTGACTTTGACTTATTTTTTAATGCATACTCTCAAAATAGACACGTGTGGCACAATTTTTATCAATTTGAACAAAATTAGTAACTATAGGAAGGTGAAATGAAATGCCAAAAACACGTTTGGCTATTTTGGTATTCTTAAATGTCAGGAAGGGGAAATGGTGGATTTTACCCTATTATTTGTTCTCCTTTACTTCTTCCCCTTCCAGAACTGGTACATTGTTAGATATTGATATATGATCTTGTCCTCACATGCGCATTAATACTTGGTAGTTAACAGATTGAAATGGTAAAATAGATCTTGTGTTTATTGCAATTGTGAAAGGCATGGAAATAATACCCAATTCAATCTTTATAATCAACATTTATCCATCTTTTTGAAAGTTACATGATATCAATGTCTTATTATTTGTGGGTTTTACTTTCCCATTCATCTTTTGTCTTCAGTGGTAAGCATATTAAATTTTGTCTCATTCATCTTTATGATCTATTAATTTTTGTTTTTAATATATTTGTTGGTGTATCAGATGATTTTGATGAGTGGACTTAGCCAAAATGCTTTGGATGAGCTGTCATCTGAAAACAGCTATGATGACCGCATACCCCATTTTTGCAATATGCTGAGGTTTGCTGTTCTTAAAAAAGAGCATTCTTTAATGGCAATTGGAGGCCCATGGGATATTGTTGATGGAGGGGATCCTTCAGTTGATGATTCTTCTCTAGTTCGAACCGTTGTGAGGTCTGTGCTTTATTTTCATAAGTATATCCTCTTATAGAGAAGTTGTACATTCCATAATGGGACATGAGTGATTTTTTCTCTTCCAGACATGCAAAGGATGTTACTCAACTTGATTTGAAGAACTGCAGACACTGGAATCGTTTCCTTGAGGTAGTCTTTTCTATTGGTGCTTAATTTGTTTGTCTGATTTTAGACTTTGTAAGCTTTGTATGGTGAAGGTAAAAGGATGGATTGTCCGCTTATCAGTATTTTTATGAATTATGAGCTCACATTATGCATTTTATTGCACATTGATTGTATACTAAATGTGTTCTCTGCATACATGGTTCTTGGCTGTGTTATGCCTTTCTGTTATTTGGGGAATAATTTTTGCAAAAACTTAATTTTTTAGGTTTTTATAAAATGATCCTGATAAATGTACATCCAAATTCAAAGCCTTATGAGGACTTTTTGATGTTTTTGTGTGGTAGATGGGAACAATTGGGCCCTCCCCAATATCTATGAATTGGGATGACTGCATGGGTGTAGGAAATTTTGATGAATATATCTCAAGCATACATCAAATATCGCAAATTTTTAAGAAATTGATGGATGTCGGTGGTAGACTATAAAGTTTGAACTATACTTTTTGAAGTCTTGATATAGGTATTATTGCTGCATTATTTTGGGTCAAAATATTATTATAACTTAAAAATATATATTTGACAAGCATGTAGTATGTTGTGAAAAACATGTATGGTTGGCCGTACTTATAAGATTGCAAATCATCTTAATATTGAGCTATATCAAAATTACACAAGGGTCACAATATGAACACACGTGCCAAATGAAACTGAAAAGAGTATAATATAACCACTTTATACCACATTTAGTTTTAATAGGAATGAAAACTCTTAAAGTCTTTGAAATCTTCACCATAACAAGGCATAAAAAATCTCGTTATCAAACTGCTCCAATATTTCATCATAGAATGTTTATAGGCACATGTTGAATAGTTCTATACTGATGGAAACTTTGTGAAACATCTAGATTAGGAATCACTCTCCTTTCTCTTTTTCTCTCTACTACTAGTACTAGTTTTGTGTTATTTTTTGTGTCCCTCTGATGTCACCAAGAATTTAAAAGGAAAACCAAACATTTATTAAAAACAAATGAGGAAAAATTCTTAAAATTTTGTTTTTGATCTTTTCTGTAATCAGTAATCATGGATGACTTGGTGCTACATCAATTTGTTATTATCTGGTTTGTTATGTTTACCCATTTTTAATTATATGTATTGACTGCATAGTTGTTTAACATATGAGTTTTTTAGAGTTTACTTTCCTTTGTCTCAGGATTTTGAGAAGAAAGCATTAAACTGAACTTGAAAATGAATGAATTAAATGTTATACCGAATATCTAAAAATGAGTGAGCATACATTTCACTTACTTCCATCAAGTCTTATCAGATGCTGTATGGGGGGGCATAGCTAACTTTTCATGTTGAGGATTCTTTTGGTGTTTCCAATCGTTTGTTAGATGTCATTTCCTCCCTTTCTTGCACACTTAGCATGACAGCTGTTAGCTAATTGTACTTGAATTTTGCAGATACATTATGACAAAGTTGGGAATGATGGACTGTTTAGCCATAAAGAAGTCACTGTACTGTATGTTCCAGATTTGTCTGATTGTCTTCCGTCACTGGAAGCATGGCGAGACCAATGGCTTGCTCACAAGAAAGCTGTTGCTGAGAGAGAGAGCCGACTTGCTTTTAAAAAAGAGGTATAGTGTTTTGTTTACTTTGAAACGACATTCTTGCTAGTTTTACCATTTTGTTTGTCCGACTTTGTAGAATGCATTTAATGCTTAAACAGACATTTTAAATGAAGATTTTTTCTTCTTTTTTTTTCTTTTCCTTGTGCCATGTGACTATCAAGAGAAACTGTAAATGTAGGTATTGCTCCTTTTTTGTCTATGCCATATGACTATTGTGGGTACTTAGGCCTCGTTTGGGAACTTGGCTATTTTGGTTGACTTTTTGGTTATTTTATGAGATGAAAAAAAGATGTGTTTGGGTTGATTTATGATTTTTTTTTTTTTTTTGGTAGTTGAATAAATAGTTGTGAGAGAAAAAGTGATTGATTGATGTGTGGAATGTGAAATTTTGTCTTATTGGCTATTGTAGTCTTTTTTGTCTTTATTGGCTATTTTAGCCAAAAAGCAAGCTGCCAAACAAGGCCTTATAGCACATTCGATATGTGGTGAGCCCTTCGGGTGCCACATCATCGATGCCCGTTCTTGCGTGGCAGATCCAAGCACCACACAAGAACTAATACTAATAAAGATTACTTGTCTAGCTTAAGTGGAGACATGCATACGGCAATTAGTAATAAGCGAGAGTATGAAGAGCCTTGCAACAGGCAACACCATGGCCTCCATAGGCCATATGTCCTTCATACCTCATTTACTCCAAGCCTAATAGTAATACGGCCTATTTGCATGCATTTGATTGTTAAGGATGAGCCCTTGACCCCCTCAAACATTGAGATAGGTACTTGGCCCACTCATCCACTCAGCTGTCCGGGTTGGGAGCAGGACCCAGGCATGACTGCTTGGGATCACCAGAGGATCATGGATTGGAGGCTAAGGCTAGGGAAATATCAAGGTCTTGCTTGGCTGTCTTCCTGCCAAGATAGCTCTGCCTTCACCAAACTTGTAGAAGAGGTGATTAATACCTTACACTCACGGCCTGATGTATACATGATATGTTGCTTTCCCGCCTACCCACCAAATCATAGACCACAATTGAGCTTATATCAGCTTCCGGCAGAGTTGGGAAGAACGAGTCACCTGTTCAACAGAGGTTGCTTGGGCTCTAATACTCCGGGAGCTCATATAACATATCATATATGCAATAGGCAAACTCACTTCTACATTTGCACACTTATACCAATACACTTATACACGAGTGTTCATGGCCCTTCACTGCCAACCTCTCCCTCTTACAGCGCCTTGGCCTTTTCCTCTCCACTTCCAGTGATCTTAGGCCACTGAAGTGTCTGCCATCTTCTCAGAGGTCAATGACTGGCTACCTTCACTCACACTCACCCACAATTATTAAAAGAGACTTTCTTGGTGGAAGTTTTTGTTGTTACCATTGTCATGGGGCTGTTACCGTTGTTTGAGGCATGCCACACTATTAACATTAGTTTGATGGTTTGTTTTAGTGAATAAATTGTATCAAATATCCATTGCAGGTAATTATCATTAAGTTGATGTAAAGCATGGTCTGGAAAGAGGCCATTCATGAATCTAGTCAAATCAAACTATTAGGAAAGGTTTTTTTTGAAAAACCATGGGACATTTTTTAATTACAAATTTTCCAATGAATAAAAAAATATTAATCTCAAATTTCAAATGAGAAAGGCATACCTTAGTCGAAGTCAAATAGTCTTTCCATGCTTCAATGTATGTGCAACAGGTCCTAAAGTTCAAAACCAAGCACCAAACTTTTTGTGAATCTCCAAGGATTTTTTTTATAAAAAAAATCGCTGGATCTTTTTTCAGTTTTTGGCCTGGCTTATGGGTCTCTTTGAAACTGATTTGGGTTGGACTTGAGATGTGTTGGTTGGACTGGATATGATGAGTATTGAAAAAGCTTTGGATAAGGATATTTGAAGATTATTATGTTTTATTTCTAGTATTTTTATGTTTTAAATTTATTTAGGAAGTTATAATAGGATTAAATTTCTTTTTCTTCATTTTCTTATGGGATTTTCTTAGTTTGGTTTGTCTTTTTATTGGTTTTGGCGTGATAAACTATAAGATTGATATTGATTGATTAAATAATTTATTTTCGTTTTATTAATATTTTCTATTTTTCTTTTACTTAGAAGTCTAGAGAGAAGTTGGAAGGGCCAAAAGGTAAACAATCTATACTACTCAGTTGTGGTGTTTATATTTTTCTCTGATTATTTGATTTGATTTTTTTTTCCTTTCAAATTAAGGTAAGGAAACTGATTCCTCTAAAGAAGTCAAGGGGGATGACAAATCAGAGAAAAAAGTAGAGTCTGCGATCCCTGGACAAGTAGTAGATGTCATCAAAAAACAGAAAGACGACCATAAACTGAAAGGAAACTCAGCAGACAAAGCGGAGGTTGGGAATGAGAAGTCTGAGAAAAAAGTTGCAGTGACAATGGGTGAGGAAGGTAATAATGTTGAGAATAAGGAACTGGGGGAAGATGCTGTGGCTAAGACAGCAGTTAGTGGAAAGTTAGGGAAAAGGAAAGTTGTAAAGAGAGTTATCAGACAGAAGGTTGCTGCTAAGAAAGATGGTTTGGAGAATCTAACCAAACAAAATGATGGTTTGGACGATCAAACCAAGCAAAATGAGAATCTGGAGGTCAAGAATGTGGGAGAGAAGTCTGCAAACCCAGAAACCACTGGTCAACCGGACGAGTCTTCTGCTAATGCTTCCTGTGTTAAAACCTTTACAAGAAAGAAAGTTGTGAAAAAGGTCCCAGTGGTAAAAGCTGTTCTGAAAAAAAATGAAGGCATGGACACTGAGATGAAAACTGACAAGGAACCTGACTGTTCTGAAGATAAACCAGAAGTTAAATCGGACTTGAGTAATGCTGCTGTGGTGCAAGATGCTGCTGTAAAAACAACAACAAAGAAAAAGGTAGTTAAAAGGGTGCCCAAAAGGAAAGTAACTGGGGCGGAAGCCAACGAAGGGGTTTCTGATAGTAAGAAAGATGATGACAAGGATGGGAAAAAGGTAGGTCAAGCTGGTAATGAAGCAAAAACTTTGGGAGACCAAACTGCTGCTGCTGACAGCCATGTTGATGATGCCAAGTTAGAAAAGAAAGCGACTCGTAAAATGTCAGAATCAGTAACTCCTGTGAAGCAAGATGATGTTGGTAATTCAAGTAAAACTGGAAGCAAGGCTGACAAAGAAGATAAAACAAATGAGAAGAGGGTTGATGAGAAAAGTGGTTCTGTGTCCAAAATCAATAATGAGACTGGCAAGCAAAAACCCAAGGATAATCACGTTAGCAAGAGGGAAAAATCAAAAGAAATAGAAAAATCAAAAGACGAAGAGAAAAAAAATAAAGAAGGAAAAGATGAGTCTAAAAGCAAATCAAACAAGGATGTGAAAGAAAAGAAACAGCCTGAAGAGCCTCCTCGGCACCCTGGATTGTTTCTCCAAACAAAAGCGAGCAGGGGTTTTAAAGTAGGTTGAATCTAAATTGAAAGATGCAGATTTTGTATCCTATAATTATTGACATATATATATATATATATTAATGTTCTACTTGTGTAATTGACTGTACATGCATTACTTGTCTAATTGTATAATCCTTTGCTACAGCTGCGTTCATTGTCACTTTCACTGGATTCACTTTTGGATTATACTGCCAAAGATATTGAAGAATCAACATTTGAGGTGTGTTTTACTCTTTTTTTTTTTTGGTGACAGGGGGGGCCTATGCCCAGCCAAAAAACAAACTAATTTATTTTTAATCATTGGTACTGTGGTGCTGCGTCTGACCTCTATGGTTTGCCTTTGATTTCATTAATTCGAGTTGCCCAGCCAAAAAACAAACTAATTTATTTTTAATCATTGGTACTTTGGTGCTGCGTCTGACCTCTATGGTTCGCCTTTGATTTCATTAATTCGAGTTGCACCCAATGCTGTAGTGAGATTACATGTTACTTCATCATGCCAATGATTTTGTGTTTGTTGGTTACCATCCCCCCTTCTTTGTGTAGCTCTCATTGTTTGCAGAATCACTGTACGAAATGCTCCAGTATCAAATGGGTTCTCGTCTTTTAACATTTCTTCAGGTTGGTTGATTTATATTTCAGTTGTTGGTTTGTCTTGATTTAAATACTTCTTTCTTCTTCTTCTTAATTTTTTATTTCTGCTTAATTTTTCTGAGTAGAAATTACGCATAAAGTATGTGATGAAAAGAAACCAACGTAAAAGACAAAGAGAAGAAAATGCTAAGGAAAATGATAAAAAATCATCTACAAAGCGTGTGAAGACTGACGAGGCCACTGTGGCAGCCAAAACTACTAAAACTGAAGCACAGGATGCACCCCAACATGATGATGAAAAAAGTGTTGTTAAGGAGGAGAATACTTCTGTTGATGGGGTCGAAAATGTGAAGGAGGAAGATGATGATGAAGATCCAGAGGAAGATCCAGAGGAAGATGATGATATGCCCGATGCAAACCCTCAACAGGACTTGTGGAATGAGGCAAGGCCTGCTCCTCCATTTTTTTTGTGTTTTGAATATATATGTGTGTACATGTGTATCTGTGTGCCTTTATCAAGTTTTCCTTTCAATATTTTTCTTATCCATTTTCTATTTTCCAGTATCGTGATTCCTCTGTCCTGTCTTACATTCTCCATAGTTTTGTATTATAAATTATTTTTCATACATTGGAGGGAAATGAGGGGTCAACCCGTGACCTCCTAGTGAGGTACACGAGTTCTGGTCAATACAATGTTTCTAGAAGCACATACATGGATATGCTGAGATGGAAATTTAAAAAAAAAAAATGTAGTACACGACAAGCAGGGGACACGTGTAGAATATATAATTTTATATATTTATTATGTCATATATAAGGATAAATAATAATTATGTCATATATATGAATATTCAAGTCAAAGATAAAAATTTAAAGTCTATAGGAGGAAAATAGGTATAAATTTATGTTGTTTTTGTTTTATCATTGGATTCTAAGTTATTTTATTAAATTTGTAATATATGTATTTCATGTGTGTCCAAGTCTTGGGAAGTGTCCGATGAGTGTCATGTTGTGTCAGTGTCAGACATGACATGTTACAAAGTGTCCATGCTTAGGAATTTTTTGATTCTTGTATCACTTTTTTTGTAGGTTAATTTCATTGACTTCTTGATTATTATTTTGTCTGCATGTTCTGGCAACTTCTGTTTTGGATAATCAGGATGCAGCCTTTCTATCACCTGCCCTGTTGTCTTGCAGATTATCTCCATTGTTGTGTGTTGTGAGTGTTTAAATGCCAAAAAACAAGTTTTATGTGCCAAGGGTCTGCTTGATTCACTGTTGGAAAAGGAAAAGGAAAAGAAAAAAGAGGCACCAAAAAAGCATTGCTGGTGCAATTTTTCTGAAAAATAAATTGAAATTAAAGGCCGCAAAAAACCACAGAAAAAAAAAAAAAAAATTCTTACAGAAAAATGGAGGAGATTAATATCTTCTTTGTATATATGCTTTTGAGGCCATTAAAGGAAAAGGTAGTATTTTGGCATTTGAGAGGATATGTTAATATATAATTGTCAGTTTATTTGTATCTATATTTTTATATTTGGTTAATTAATTTTAATTTCATTTATACAGGAAAGTGCTGTCGAGGGGAAGACTGATGATGCAGATATCAAGTCTGAAAAGGAAACCGAGAATGCAAAAGATAAAGAGCAGGAAACTGGGGATGAAACTTCAGATAACATGCCCGTGTCAGGTTCAGAGAGCAAGCCTGTGTCGGGTTCAGAGAGCAAAGAAAATGTAGAGAATACTGATAAAAAGAAAGAAATGCCGCCGGTGGTTGTTGATAAAGAACTGTTGCAGGTGTGTTTTGTGGAAATTTTCTTAGCCATCTACTTTTGTACCATCTTGTGCTCCCGTTTTGGTTTTTAATGTTGGCTGTACTTTTGCAACAGGCTTTCAGGTTTTTTGATCGGAATCGAGTTGGATACATCAGGGTAATTACAAGTAGTATTATTCTTTTGTATTCCTACCCGCTCCCACCTTAAGTATATTTATATGTTATTTAATTTTCTTAAATATATTAAGACTAAAACACTAAAGTATTACACCAAACATTCATTTTACCTTATTTATTCATTTATTTATCAGTCTTTAACTATCATTTATAAAACATTATCCGTAATATATCAATTCATATTGCATTTTTATTGATACCATTATTCCAAAAGGTCAAAATTAACCAAAACTTGGGCCACCCGGCCCCATCCTGTTGACATCCCTAATTACGTGTGTACTTCCGCAGGTTGAAGATATGAGGTTAATTATCCACAACTTGGGGAAGTTCCTCTCCTACAGAGATGTCAAGGTTAGAATCTGTGTTTTTGCAAGTGTTTTTTTTTATTATTATTTTTTTATAAAAGAAAATAGCGCTTACCAGGTTTGCAAACTGATGGTTGCCAATTGTTGACATGAATCAGGAACTTGTTCAAAGTGCACTCTTGGAGAGCAGTACTGGGAGGGATGATCGTATTCTTTACAATAAGCTAGTTAGAATGGCTGACATTTGAGATCCAAGTGGAGGCATTGCTTCCTTGCCTGTTGGGAGTATTTGCTTGTATTGAAGAATCGAGTTGTGAATTTTAACTTAGTTCTGAACTTAAAGTTTTTGATATTTCTATGACCCACCTGAAAAAAGGGGTATGAGAGATACAGAAGTGTTAATCTGCAACTCAGAATCCAGATTTCCACAATTAAACTTAATTGACCTTGTTGTGTCGTCGTGTTGATTATAACTTGCCTTTAATAAAACTCTGCAAATTTCTTGAATTACTTGTCCGGGATGTGGGGGACAATTTTTTAAAAGAAAAATGCCCCTTGTTTTTTTATTTGTGTAGAAACAGTACTGAAAATTTTAAAGCAACTGGTTGTGTTCCTTTTATATGAAGTGGATTTTCAGATGTTTTTTTCCCAAACACTATCCGGAACCATCATAAATTGCCAAAAAGGTTTGTTGTGCCATTTTGAAAGTGCATAGTGATGGCATTCGTTAAGCTTTCAAGGGGTTAATTGCGGACCCCAAAAATAAAATTCCATTTGCCCTTTGATTTTTCTAACACAATTCTCAGAGAAATTCTTTATTTTAAATGGGTGAGAAAGTATCCGTTCCAAAATGGAGAGATTATTTTCAAGTACTATGCTCCTCAAAATGACATTTTGCTCTATTGGTTTCGAATAGGTGCGGATAGGGAGTTGGTTATTGAAAAAATGAAGAGATTAATGGCCCTATAATAATGTTTCGAGGCACCCACTAGCACAATTGGTAGTATCTTGGTTTTGCTAAAGACTTGCAATTAAAAAAAATAAGTTATATTTAACATTTAAAGAAATTTGATGAGGTGAGGCAATGATGAGATTTACATAATTGGAGAAAATGTTATGCTGTATAGTGAAACATAATCGAATAGATCAAGCAATCATCTTGGTAAATTTTTCCAAGCAAATGACAAGCCACACTCTCACCATAAGAATCCACTCCAAGGTTACCTGTTCTCTAAATTCATAGAGTGATCCGGTTGTCATCTATGCAATTATTGTTATTATTATAATATCGGGAGAGGTAAACATTTCAGTTTCCAAAAATGGGATGTATCTCTACAAATTTTTTCTCATCACAGGACCCAATATGTGTGATGAGTATGCTTGTACACAAAGTGGAAGAAAGAGAGCTCCTATAATCTGTCTTACGCATTTACAGCAGAAAATTGTTTTGTACTTACACATACAAAGATAAATCAAACTCAACCTCAAGGATTGAGCATGCCATCAACATCGGGGCTCCTGTTTCAAGTGGACTCCACTTGATGAGCCGAACATCATTGCCTGGAGACAAAAACAAAACTTTCAGCCAAGGGCTGGTACAAAAAACAAATAAATAAATGCAAGGAAAAGGAACAATTTATCCATAAGCTTAAAGAAATTGCAGCTATGAACATAGCCAAGACATGACCATTGACTACAAAAGATTTTTTTTTTTTTTTTTGGATGACCAGGAACTGAGCCACCACAGGCACGTAAACTCGGTGTTCAGAGGCCACCCCTAAGTGTATAAACCGAGCAAATGGGAGGGGAGTCAAACCTCAAACTGCCTGGATAAGAAATTGGGCAAGCCACTTCTCAATGTGAACCCTAAAACTAGATATAATTGGTAAGAGGTTAGGCTGATGTGCTTCATTGTATTTGTATGTAATGATTAATCTGAGGTTTGGATACAACTAATACTTCCAATATGCTAAAGTTTCTAAGCATCTTTCACATAATCAAAATCCCTTGCCCGAAAGGGCTACAAAACTATCTACATGAATGGCAATTTTGCCCACAGTTGGTTTCCATTTCTGTCAAACCTATGCATATGTGGTCTCTATTTTTTAATGGACGCAACTATGAAAACCATAATTTCTCACTATTAGAACCATATCAACATGTTGATTCCCATCATCGAGTGTTCTAGTTTGAGAGTTATTTGCATAAAAACCCACACGCATTTGTTAACACCACTTCCAATTTTTTTCTCGTTGAGTAACAGAGCCACAAAGAGTGGAGATCAGATCAAGGCACTTAGAGAAAGCCTATTGTATCAACTGAGCCTGAGAAGATCAGAGCCACGTGAAGCGCAGTGCCAGCAAGGAGCTTAGAGAAACACTCTTAGGCTCCATTCAGTTGTCAAGAAAAGAAAGTAAAGTACAAGAAAATCAATTTCTTGATAACTTTTCATGTTCACTTAGCAATTGAGTTGTGAGACTTGTATTTTATGTTTTCCCTCAAAACATGTCTTGCAAAAAATATAAGATCTTGCACGAATCTCAACAATACACTTTCCTTTTCTTGACAAATGAACACACGGGAAAATAAGTTTTTGCTTTTTCCTTAACCTCAGTTTACTACATTTTTCTTGAGAACAACTTTGTCACACAAAATTCCTGGCAAATGAAAGGAGCCTTGAGAGCTAGGTTTACCAAGTAAGGTATGGTAAAGTCCATGTGACTTCAGTATACCTTAAACATTTGATTTCAATAACGGATATTGTTGGTTGGTTGGGTTTGTGGTTTTTCCCTTGAAGAGAGATTTCTTCATGGTTTTCCACCTCGTTTGGGAACAGGCTAATTTAGTAACTTTTTGGCTATTTGGCTAAAAAGGTCGGTAAAAAAAACTTATATGTTTGGGATGACTTTTTGGCTAATTACGAAAAGATGTGCAAAAAGTAGAGAGAAAAGAGAATCTTTGACTTTTTGGTATGGGTTGTTGGCTTTTTGGCTAATTTAGTAACTTTTTGGCTAATTGACTAAAATAGCCTCTTGCCAAACGAGGCCTTAGCACGAGTGTATTTAACCAATCTATAACTAAACTAGAACAGGTGATTTTCCGGCTATGAAGTAAAACATTACCATTGGCCCCCACTAACACCTTATAATTATATATCAATGATCTCCCTTATCTATACTATCATCTATCTATACTAATATATATGTAATGGCTTCTTATGGTGTTGATGTCTCATATTTTGGGTTTTCCCAAAATGCCCCTATAGTTAGTGTTTATGTAAACTATACTATTACATATGTGAAAGCTTCCATAATACCCCTATAGTTAGTGTTTATGTAAAAATTATATGAAGAAGAGGATGGGACTCAAAACCGAGATCATGGGTTTGATAAATAAGACACTTACCACCAAGGTTTTAAAAAGCAGCCGTACGTAACGGTTTTGGCGGTTACCGCCACCCGTTACGGCTGCTTTTGTAGTGTGATTGAGAATCACAGGTGTGTCGGCCGTAGCGACTGCCGTAGTGGTCGTAACGGTGCCGTAACAGCCATAACGGCCTGTTTCGCACCGTTACGTAACGGTTCTAAACTGTTTCTTTCGAAAACACACAAAAAAAAAAACTGAAAATGGGGGAAGAGGGAAGATAAAGAGAGAAAATAGAGGAGCAAGAGATAGAGAGAGAGAGAGAAGAGGGAAGATGAAGAACATGTTATTGATTTGTTGAAACTATAAGGCCTATGCTATTCTATTCAGCTGTTATCACTAAACCATTTTGTTTGTGTGTGCTTATCTATATATTGTTTGAAAACAATAATAACAATAAGTGTGGTCATTATCTATTTGGCTTGGTTAAAATATGTATATATATATATATATTTAGGCTCTTATTTATTCTCTTATTTATTCTTACTTTTGTCATTATTTATCTTATATATAATAGTTAGTGATTAATTTTTTGTAAAATATAAAATCATTAATTATTAATATGAAATGTAAAAACTCAGTTTATAGTGATTTAAAAATATGAAATATATTGGATCATACTTAAAAATTTACAAAAATTGATCAATATTTATTTTAAACTCAATAATATGATCATGGAAAAAAAATATGCGTATCGGTAAGTTTTTTTCAAATTGTGTGAAAAATAAAAAAATTCACGGTTCCGGTTACCACAACCGTTACACTACAGCCTTTACACCCCGCAACCGCGTCACCGCCACCATTACGGCGACCGCAACCGCTTTTCAAAACCTTGCTTGCCACTTAAGCAACATACACTATGTGCGTACATTTCTCTGTCATTATTCTTATACTAAACACTTTTTTTCGAGTTCCACTAGTTGCAGTAAAACATTAACATTGGATTGTTAGCTTACCACCTTTGGCCCTGAAAAATAAAAATGTAAAGCTTATTGGAGCAAAAGCCTCAATAAATTAAAAAATGACATTTTCTTGTGCATAAAATCAATTCTGAACTTCTCAATCACCCTACATTATTTGCTATGTTGTGGTCTAAACCTCAATAATCAGAAAATTTGAAGTGGCCAGTGTGTGAAAATATGTTAAATCACTAGAGGGTAAATAAAGGACTACAAGACAATTTGATAGGCTGATGTATAACACGGGGAAATGGATTCAAAGGCATCAAGAAAAAAATTCACACGAATTTACGTGCGCTCCAGAATAAATGTGATCCCCGATAGCAAACAACATTTACAATTATCAAAATAAATAAACAAATAAATAAAAATAGCAAACAACATTTGCCATGGACTTTAGATCGTGGAGGGGCAGGGGCAGGAAAAAGGAAAAAGATGCAAACAGTAAACAAAATGCCATGATACCTTAGTGACAAGGGATCTTATTCCGGAGTAAAAATGGAGTAAAAATTCAGTATAATAGTAATACCATGTCATCATTGACACATGCTATCATGGCCCAATAATAAAACTAAACATGGGAGGGTGAACCCCAATATTCACGTGTAACTACTTGTTTGAAGAGGAGTATGCAACTGCCACATATACATAGTGGGACTTATTGTGCTTACATCTTAAGTTATTATTGGGTGGTGATACATGTGTTGGTGATGATGTGGTATCACTGTTGTGCTGATTTTTTTTTCGTCATTCAGGGAATAGGGTCACATTCAAGGACCACAGCAACTTTCTTACAAAAAAAGAAAAGAGAATACCCTACCTACATAAATATGCAAAAAACTGTGACTGCATGAGATATTACCTGCTGAGATGTACTAGGAAATATACTATTTGCAAGTTCCTCATTTATTGTTTCAGGCAGTGGTGGCATCCGCCTCATTATGCCAGGCATCTCTCTCATGCTGGAAGAATTGAGTAGCATTTTCACAAAGGCAATTATTGACAAGAAACCAAATATGAACCAAAATCAAAAGCAACAGCATTAAAATACATTAAGAGTATCCACATACTCTTTTAGTATGACAGCTATGTTGTTCCTTGCGCGAAAAAAGAGATCGATGTTATCATCTAACTGTTTGTTGAAATGTGAAAATGAAATGTCAGTTACAAAACAACATTTTTTCAAATTGTTGACAAAAGTGTACAAAGAGAAGCAATTTATATCTCATGCACAAAATATACATATATATATATATATATGTAATTTCATCAAGATCAACATTAAAGATGAGAACAAAATGCCAAAAAGAAAATCAGAGAAAACATTTATGACGAAGGAAATGATTCATGAATACGATAAGTATAATATAATAACGTCACTCCAGTTCTATGCAATGACGACACATTGAAAAGGTTCAGCACCCCATTTTCTGTGGTTCAATAACAAAGTGATTTTTGATTTGACATGTATATGGAAAAAAACCATTTTCCTATAATTTTTCAAGCAGTTGATTGTGCTTGCTTCTTGATTAAAAAAAATAGAAAAAGGAAATAAAAGGGATCTGATCAATTGAGCAATGTTATTTAACTGATTCATCCAAATTTGAAGTCCCTGAATTAAACAAGAAGGTGAATTTATCTTTTCTATATTCTTCCTGTGCGTGCGTGCATGCGTGCGTGTGTGTGTGTGTGTGTGTGTGTGTGTGTGTTTGTGTGAGTGAGAGTGAGAGAGAGAGAGAGGACAATTTAAAGCAGACACACCACCACATTGAAATTGGGACTTCAACCCTGCACTCAATGCTTTAAGATGGCAAGAGATACCACTCAAGCTAACATCTGATAATCACATTATTGTTCATTTCCGTAAGATCCTCTGGAATTCAATAGACAACTTGATTTTTTTTTTTAAAGTGAGTTTATTACCAAAAACAGAGAAGTAGATCAGCAAGGAAGGCATACCTTCCATTACAAGACGAGAAAAGACTCAACCACAATCAATCAAAATAAATCTAAGAGCTATTACTCAAAAACATTTAAGGAAATAATCCAATTTCTACAAATTAAAATATTAGAAGCAGAAGGCTTGACTCCATGAAACTGAGTCCTGACATCATATTTGATTTGTTAAAATTGGCTGGGGTGCTTTGCAATCCTCTAAAAATTCTTTGATTTGTTTCCTGCCATATGTAGTAGATCGTAGCAGACCAAGCAAGCTACTTAACAATGTTCTGGAAGTTTTTCCCACTAAATTTACCAATTACCCAACTGATTTCAGCTTGCCAGAGATGGCAAGGTTTACTGATATTACACAGGCTAGAAACCTGAAACCAAATAGATCTAAAGAATGGATATAAGAAAAAGAGGTGTTGCAGATTTTCAATGTCCTGATTACAAATCATGCAGGTTGCACTGTTAATTATTCCCCATTAAAAGAGTTTATCTCTAGTTCCGAGCTTAAATTTAAGTTTCTGCTAAAGACAAATTCATGATTTCAAAGAGTCGTTCATTGTTTAGAAAATTACGCTATTATGCAAAGCCTAGGCCTGTCTTTAGCATAGCTCCTGAGAATACTATGATCTAAAACACCACGAAACGTATTGGATGCACACCAAAAACAGTGGATTGTGAATCTTGTGTTCTAGGAAGCATAGATATGGATACGAGATACGGATACGACACGATACGGATACGGCGATACGACAAAACCTAAAAAAAGAGGATACCGGTATGGTTAGGATACGTTTGTGAAAAATATATTTTTTAAAATTATTAATAGTGAGTTACACATAAACTAAAGAACGTTGAAAACCACAATGTAATTTTATAATGCAAAATACTAACCTTTAAGAATTTTATATTAATTTAAGCTAGTAGCTTGTTTACTTTAAAATTTTTAATAGGTCTTGCAAATATTTCATTTCAATATCAAGTTTAATATATTTATATTATAATAATAGAACAATTCACAACTTATCCCTATGCTTTTTCCTTTGACACTAGTGAAAAATATTGTATTCAAGTTTACTTGCTTATTTATTTATTGATATTTAATTTTACCATTGTTATATTCTCTTGTTAATTTTTACTTTCTATGTAGTTATAGGGGACATGCATGAAATAAGTATGATACATCAATTTGATAAATTCTATTATTTAATTCACTATGCTCTTCTTATCGAAGAAATTAACAAAGTATTAGAAAAATATTATTATATTTATACTTGCAATTATATTATATTATATTATATTACTATGCTAGAAATGTTACAATTCTAATTTCATAAAATAAGTAAACATGACTTGGAGTATCCGATACTTCAAAATTAAGTATCTGATACTCCAAAATTAATGAAAAAATAATTAAGAAGTATCCGATACTTTTAATAAGTATCTGATACGTATCCGCAAGTATCTGAGGAGTATCGGTATCCGATACGGATACATCACTCTATTTGAAGTATCCGTGCTTCATAGCTTGCGTTTCACCATGAATTCTATCCCAAAAAATAGAATGAAGAAGTCCTAATATCTATTTTAAAAAAACTCTATTAGTAACCAAATTGGGAATTTTCGATTTCAAAATTCTTATCAAGTATATATCCACATTGTTTTGATTTGTCATTAATCTCTCGTTATTTTATACAAACTTGCAATGTATTTTACTTGTGACAGAACTATATGCGTCCCCAAGTGTCAAAAGAGTGTCCGGTTCTTGAAAAATTAAGAACCATAATAGGGCACAATTGGATGCATGTGCAATACATGTCGGGAGATGTCCAACGATGGCAGCGGTTGACACGCGTACATGGGACTTTCTTAGGAGTTTTTGTGCTGCACCAAAATGTCAACCCTATGTGTCAAAAAGTCCATTGAAATTGGTAGACTAATTAGATAAAGAAGCTTGAACCAAAGAATAAATAAAAAAGTTGCAGTAATCAAATAGAAGTTTGGGCCCTTGGGTAACCATTTTATGCAGGCAAAGTGAGCACTAACTCAAATAACTTATTAGAACAAATGAGAGTAGAAACTGATTCAAGGATTTAATTGGATCATTTTAGAAACTGATTCCCGCCTACTGCTTACATGAATTTTGCACAAAACAAGTGACTAATTGGCTTTAGTGGGGTCGGCTTATTCATGTAGCTGATCCTACTTAGGACACAAGGCTTGGTTTGGTTAAGTGAATCATAGGGTGCCGCAAGGACTGCCCTCTGCATCTCTCAGCTAGGCTCATTCAAGGACTGCCCTCTGCATCTCTCATTAATCTCTCGTTATTTTATACAAACTTGCAATGTATTTTACTTGTGACAGAACTATGGATACATACATTCCCCAAGTGTCAAAAGAGTGTCCGGTTCTTGAAAAATTAAGAACCATAATAGGACACATTTGGATGCATGTGCAATACATGTCGGGAGATGTCCAATGATGGCAGCGTTTGACACTAGTCCACGATGGCAGCATTTGACACGCGTACATGGGACTTTCTTAGGAGTTTTTGTGCTGCTTTACCAAAATGTCACCCTATGTATCAAAAAGTCCATTGAAATTGGTAGACTAATTAGATAAAGAAGTTTGAACTGAAGAATAAAAAAAAAAGTTGCAGTAATCAAATAGAAGTTTGGGACATTGGGTAACCATTTTATGCAGGCAAAGCAAGTACCAAGTCAAATAACTTATTAGAACAAATGATAGTAGAAATTGATTCAAAGATTTAATTGGATCATTTTAGAAACTGATTCCCTCCTCTCTTTTTTTCTTTTAATCAGCGATTCCCTCCTACTGTTTACATGCATTTTTAGTGGGGTCAGCTCATTCATGTAGCTGATCCTACTTAGGACACAAGGCTTGGTTTGGTTAGGTGAATCATAGGGTGCTGCAAGGACTGCCCTCTGCATCTCTCAGCTAGGCTCTTGCATGTTCAAGATGTCCTCCCCCCCAACCCCCCCAAAAAAAAGAAAGGAACCCCACAAATACATTGTGCATGCATATACGAGCAGCAATTGTTCATGTAGACAGGCGTTACACACTAATCAAATAGTGATACAACTAAAAAGGAATGGACTTTTTGTTGAACAAAATATAGTTATTTTTTGGGGCACTTTTTCATAAATCCATTTTCAACTACTTATGTTCTATTTAGTCCACATTATTTTCTTATATTCCAATAAGTCCTATAGGTGACATAGTTACCAAAATACCCCTAATAGTATTCACATTTTTAGTATGAATGCTCCGTTCACATTGTCAACGTGAATGTTTACACTGTCAATGTGAACATTCACACGTCAATGTGAACATTCACACGTCAATGTAAATATTCAAATTGTAAAATATGAATGTTCACATTACCAAATTGCTAATCGTTCAAAAAATATTTGTAAGGGTAAAAAAGTCCATAAAATACTTTAAATATAAGAATTAAGATTTGGTAGATCAAATGTTCAAATAATAGGACTTATTGGAGTACAAGAATATCTTATGAACTAATTGGGATACATACACTTAAAAAAGGATTTTCTAATAAATCTCCCTTCTTTTTTTTTCAATAATAACAACATTTTATGGTATTGAGAATCTACACAAGCAATGCTACCTTTTCTCTATTATGAAATGTCATTTTAATCAAAATATATTTCACATTAAATTTTAAGGAAAAATCAGTATTGTTATATCTCCATGAAAATGTAGGATAGAGGCTCACCTTCAGTATAGAAAGATTCGCAGAAATTTGACTAAGAACTCGATTATTTTGCTCCAACAGATGTCTTGTTGGGCCACATAATGCTGGGATCAATAAAGAATATGAATTATACATTGATAAGAGCCAAATACTAGAAGGAAAAAATATAGAACTGAAAACACATCTATTGCGTGTCTAAATAAGTATTGGGAAATTACATGCAGGTGGTATTTGCAAAAAATTATTACATCTGTGTGAAAAAGTTTATAATTTTAATTATTAATATTGATAAAGTTTACCATTAATTTATTATTATTTTTCAACTTATACACTGAGAAATTCCCCTAATAAGTATTATTTATAGGCTTTGAAAGCCTAAAGTGAAGCTATGGGGCCCATGGTACCAAGGAACCGTTTTGGTCGAAAGTAAGTGTCCATGATAGTGTGTAGAGCCTTTATTTACATTTATTCTAAACTAGTATCTGAATTTTTTTATTTATGTTTTCCCAATTTTTAGGAGGGCTAAGGGTGTTTTGGTAATTTCCAAATTGCTGGACTTGGGTGCTAATTTGGATCCACAAATTTTGTCACGAGTCAATTTATTAAATGGGTCATTATATGTGGGTTTTATTAGGTCTAGAATAGTATAATAAGGGTGCTAAAGTTTCTTATTTTTTAGTCATAATATTAATTGGAGTACGATTAGACGCCTTTCTATGCAACTTTAGAAAATTGTGATTGTATTTTGTGTGTTTCTTGGCTCTAACAAGGGTAAGCCCGTGATCTTTTCTCTCCTCTTCTCTCCACAAGAAAGTAAATCTCTTCCCCAGGTGCTGCTCATAGACCCAGAACATTCCAAATGACAGTTAGACCTAATAAACCACAATCTCTTTCTCTAAGCATAAAGCCTTTGATTTGATATCAAAACCTATAAATTGCTCGCTGCCCAAGTCCTCGAACTACCAATTTTCAGAAAATCCAGTAAACTAGAAAACTGGCTTAGAAGCCTAAGAAAATCAAGAAAAAAAAGAAAATGAAGACAAAAATTCTAAAAATCACTCCTAGAAAATTTAGGCAATGCACCTAGGAGTCTTGAGACTTTCTTTTTGGACAAGTAAAGGTTTTATTAAAAGCGGCACCAAGGAGAAGCAACCCATATACGAAAAGATCTAAACATCAAAAACCAAACCAAACCAAACCAAATCAAGCCTTAAGTCCCATCAAATGGGGGCGGGTACATGAATCCTTCTTCTCCACTCGGCCCTATCAAAGGCCATTTCATTAGTCAAATTAAGTAGATCCATATCTTTATTTATAATGCTAGCCAACGTTAATCTAGGCCTATCCCGTCCCCTGGCACTTCCATCTACCGTTACAGCATCGCATCCCTTCACTACTGCCTCTGTTGGGGTCTCCGTTGAATATGTCTAAACCATCTCAATCGATTTTCTCTCAACTTATCTTCTATCGGTACTACTCCTACTCATTCCCGAATACACTCATTCCTAATTTTGTTTTGTTTAGTCTTGCCACACATCTACCTTAGCATCCCCATCTCAGCCACACTCATCTTATCTACATGTTCTTTCTTTATGGCCCAACACTATGTCTCATACAACATCGCTGGTTTAATAGTCATTCTATAGAACTTACCTTTTAGTCTAGTGGGTATTCGTTTATCACACAGTACCCCAGATGCACTTCTCCACTTACACCAATCCGCCTTAATCCTATGAGCTATATCTGCATCAATCTCCCCCGCTATTGTGATAATCGATCCTAAATAACGAAAATGTTCACTCTTAGGCAGTTCTTGATTCTCAATCTTCACTTCTCCTCTACTTTCATTGTTATTGTTACTAAATTTACACTTCATCTCAGTTCTGCTTATCTGGAATCCTTCAGATTCAAGAGTTTTTCTCCAAATCTCCAACTTTGTATTAACTCCTTCTCTAGTCTCATCCACTAACACGATATCGTCTACAAAAAGCATACACCATGGCACAGTATCCTGAATATTTCTCGTCAACTCATCAATAACTAAAGCAAAACGATAAAGACTTAAGATAGATCTTTGGTGTAACCCGACAGTAATAGGAAATTCATTTGTCTCTCCAGCAGGCGATCTAATAGTGGTCAGCACCCCTTCATATATGTCCCTAATCACATCAATGTAAACTTTTGTTACCCCTTTCTTCTCTAACACCCACCATATTATATCCCGGGACACTCTATCATATGCTTTCTCAAGGTCGATAAACACCATATGAATGTCTCTTTTCTTTTCTCTATACTGTTTTGTTATTCTCCTCAAAAGATAGATCGCTTCCATTGTTGACCTGCCAAGCATAAACCCAAATTGATTATCTGACATCTCTTTTATATCTCGCAATCGGCATTCTATCCCACACTTTCATTATATAACACATTAGCTTGATTCCTCTATAGTTGTTGCAATTCTGGACATCTTTATTCTTATAGATTGGCACTAAAATACTCTTTCTCCACTCATCAGGCATGTTCCTAGTCAACAAAATTTTGCTAAACAACCTAGTCAACCAAGCAATCCCTTTTTTACCTAAACATTTCCAAGCTTCAATAAGTATATCATCGGGTCCTAAAGCCTTATTTGATTTCATCTTCTTAAATGCAATCTCCACTTCCAAGTGCCTAATCTTGCGATAGAACCTATAGTCTTGATTTATCGTATTACTAGCTATTTTTTCCCCTATTGCCGTACCTCCATGTTCCTCATTTAATAGTTTCTCAAAATAGTTCTATCTTTTCGTAATGTCTTCATCTTTCACCAAGACCTTAGAATCATCACTCTTGATGCACTTAACTTGATTAAAATCCCTTGTTTTCATCTCCCGTATCTTAGTAAGTTTGTATACCCTCTTCTCTCCCTCCTTACTATTTAGTCTAGTGTATAAATCATCATAAGCTTTCAACTTAGCTTCTCTCACTACTTTCTTGACCTCCTTATTAGCCAATTTATAGCTCTTAAAGTTTTCCTCAATTCTATACTGCCACTTTTTAAAGCACTTTTTTTTTGCCTTAACTACCGCTTAAACCTCTTTCCTCCACCACCAAATTTCCCTAGAGCTGGGTCCCATTTCTTGCAACTCTCCAAGCACTTCCCTTGAGATTCTCCTCATACTATTGGCCATCGAGTTTCACATAGTGTTAGCATCATCTTCCAAATCCCAAGTACCTTATCAATTCTATTCTTAAATATTTTTAGTTTATCCCCTTTTAGGTTCCACCATCTCGTCCTACGACGCCCACCATCCTTCCTAGCTTGGTATTGCCTTCTAAAACATAAATCTAGTACCAAAATCCTATGTTGAGAGGTTAGGCTCTCTCCAAGAATCACCTTACAATCATTGCATTTTAGGTGGTCCAATTTTCTCACTAAGAAGTAATTTATTTGGCTCTTAACTGATCTATTCTTAAAGGTTAAAGGATGAGTTAATTGGCTAAAGGTTGGGTTAATTGCACTCAAAAACCAACTATACAAAAAAAGAAATTAATCTACTCTTTAATTTGAAAATAAGCTCTTCTCTCTCATCAAAATCCCTTTTATTGTGTTCTCCCCTCATTATCCAATACCAAACACCAAGCCTTCCTTTTTTTTCCGCACAAGGCCTCATCTCCGAGAATGAAGAAGCTCCCCAACCTTATGGGGGAACACCCACTCTAAGCCAAACATTAGAAAGGATCGAAGACCACAAATCTCATGCCATCTTGCAATGAATAAGAAGATACTCATGGATTTCCCATCATGCTTGCACATACAACACTAATTAACATTAATTTGTTTCCTCTTAATCACATAATCAACAATTAAAATTTTTCCATGTGTTGCAATCCACATAACAAATGCAATTTTGAAAGGAACCTTGGATCCCCACACTTCTTTCTAAAGAAAAGGAACTCTCCTATAACCCACTAAAACTTCATAAAAGGACTAAGCTTCAAAATATCCTGACTTCAACCTCATCCATTGAATTTCAATCCCGTCCCCTCCAACACCAATGCGAGGAATGGCATATACACATCGAAGAAGCTCCAACAATTCCCCACTTCCCAATCATTCAAGTCTCTAAGCAAGCCAAAATCTCAAAAGACATGATTGCAATCCACCTCGAGATACTCACTAATAGCGACCTCCCTATTAGTCCCAATGAGAGGAATAGTAGGATAAATCGGTTCCAACTTCTCTCCACACCACTAATGGTTGATGGTTCCGGAACCTCATTTGCTCACCATTTCCATTTTTCTACTACAAACAGAATATATCTTCAGAAAGAATCCCAAATGCAATGGATACCTTTCCACAACCCCAAACCATCAGATATAGCAACCTCCTCCGACTCTCATCCCCCCTCCATGTATCTCCATATTTACACACCACCACCCTCCTCAAGTACCCTATGTTACATTGACTCTTCTAAATTTGAAAGTACCCATATAGAACACTTAGCACCTAGGTTAGGGAATTGGACCCACATCCTATTTTCCCAAGAACTTTACTAAGTTGAATTTTCATGTTGTCCTATGTCCGTGTCTCATGTCCATAACCCAATGATTTGAATTTTTAATTCTTTCTAGCTATATGTGCTTTCCAAATTGCTTTTATTGATATTATTCAGTAAAAGGGGGGGAAAGAAAAGATACAAATGGAAAAAGGAATAAAGAAAAAACATTAAGATACAGCCAAACTAAGAGAAACAACCAATCATTTCAAATTGCAAGGATTTCAATGGAAAAATGACATAAACAAGAACGCCTTAATAAAGGAACAAAAGACACTAACCTTCAAAATGCATGTGTTCATTATGGTCCAAATGGTTCGGGATCAAAGAATACGGAGCCATATTCAATAGTGAAGCTGAAGATATATTTATCTTGGAGGATGATGCCACCAATTTATCCTGAAGAAGCATGATCTTTAGAATACTGGTTCTACAATCAACAACATTACATCCTAAACACATTAATTGATTCAATAAATAAATAAAGAAATCATATCCTGCTGCTCCACTGGGAACATGAAGTTGCAAACATTAAGTTTCTTATAGTGAGTTTTTAGTTGGTTGTCCAGCAGTTTATAAATTGCTTTGAATGTAGAAACAAGAAAAGCCACAATTTTGGCCAACAGCCACAAAATGACAACCCTATTCCATTCATACTCCATGGGTAAACCCACTTTAAAAAGTATACAAATCTGCATTACACGCAAAAAGTGGGTAAAAACGTTTGTGAAAAAACTTTTTCTTGTAAAAAAAGAAATAAATGAACATTTTGTCTTACATTCAACATGGAAGAAGGTCAACAATTAAAAATCAGAAATAGACATAAACATGTGTCTAAGTGCAGCCTACTGGTATAATGAAAGACTCAGTTCTGGCTAATTATGCAATAGAAGAATTTACGCTGCCAACTCAAAAGTTATGGGCAAGGTGCAGCAGCTTGTATAAAAAGTGTCAAAAGTAAGAAGATGTTGATATCATAGCATGCGTATCTTATTTTCAGATCATTGTTTCTAATCAAGTCTTCAGCTATGTTACTGGGACTAGATACAGTTGGGAGGTGCAGGTATGTGTCTAAGCTACGAAGAATGGATATGGACACGCTTACATGGCAAACTTCAAAAAATGCAATACATGACAAGTGGGGGGACAAATAAAAATATATAATTTTATATATTACAATATATATACGAATATTTCATTTACACATAATAAGAATATACATTATAACATGAATTTTCTGAGTTTAAAAGATGATTGATTAATAAGTATAAATTTATATTATTTTTCTTTTATCATTGGATACTTAGTTATTTTATTCAAACTTGTAATATGTTTCACATGTATCTAAGCGATAGACACATTTTTTTCCCAAGTGTCCAAAGCGTGTAGAAGTCTTAAAAAAATAATAGAGCACATTTGCATGGCTGACATGGACACACAACTTTCTTAATAGTGTTTGTGCTTCTTAATGTAAGTGCCGAAGATATTCAAACATGGCTAAATTTCATATTTCTTAAATACTTCTTAATTCATGTAGGGAACAACAGTAAATACAAACATAGAGGAATTTATGAATAGAAACACAAGTTATGATGCATAGTTTCATACAAAACTCTACTACTTAGATTTATTGGGTGCATCTCGAACTAGACATGTCTGACACATATCTCATACCCTTATCCGATTGTCACGTGTCCAACACTGGTACTTCACAAATTTAAAAGAGTTCATCTTACAAAGGTTTTAAGTTGAAACAACTCATTGTTCATTTAAACAAATCATGCAAAACAAAAACTAAGGAATATGAATGAATTGCAAATGAATACCTTCCTGTCTTTCACTTTCTTCCCCAAATTTTGGTCGTCACATTTCCTTTTTTTTCTCTGCCAAATATGATATGGGTAAGATTTTTACTCAAACTGGAAGGCTTCAATTAAATCAAGTGTGCAAATATTTCCCCCAAATGCATAAGATGTGTATATTTATAGGTAGATGTAAATGCATAACAGGTTGCTTCACATATGGCAGCCAAAGTATGTTGGTTAACTGGCCCACATCGTCAGCAACCAAAATACTCCCTTCTTGTCACATGCAGAAACGTCATTTAATTTGTAACAGAACATATTCAAACAACAGACATTTTGGATCTTGCATTATTTATTTTCATCTCTCCTACCTATGTAACTTAGAAGAATATCAATTTCTTTTTCCAGACAGCAAACTACCTCAGCAATGCTTGCATTTGCAACTACTAATGTGGGTCTCAAGATAATAACACTGGAACAATTAGAACACAAAGCCCCCTCAAAAAAAAAAAAAGATCTTCAAGCCCACCATCAGGGCATCCAGATACAAAAACTTACATGCAGCCTTCTGTAGTCATATTATTCCATTTTCGCAAAAAGGTTACGACATAAGTGCCAAAAACATCCCCCATTTTTCAGTACATTTTCAGCTTCAAACTAGAATACTTCTATCACCGGTAACAAATCTACAGCTAGTAGGGGAAAAAAACAAAAACAGAAATGATGAGGAAGGAGTGACAAAAAGGAGAAAGTCTTCCCAAGCTGCCCAGGCCGGTGGATTCTCCCTATTTTGAACAAAGCTTGGACTTAGAATATAGTTATAATACAGCATAGCCCACAAATAAAAGAGACAGTTCAATTAGAGACAGACTCAATTGGTAGTGGAAGTATATTTTTTGATAAATAATAAGACCTTATTGAAAAAGCATCAGTGTGATGCAAAGAATACAAGGAAGCCAAAAAAAGATCAGTAGTCGAAGTAGATAACCACGGATGTTATCACAATGTCAAGTGAGTATGCCCTGTAGGCTTTTTTTAAACAATGCTTGGACTTTGGTGATGTACACCCAAAGGCCCACCATACCCCAAACCGTACCCGCACTCATGGTAATTTTTAAGGCCATCCTCAACTTTACATCTGGGGCCAGCCACCCTGGCTAAATGCAGATGTTAGAACATGTTTCATTGTATTTTATAACTTCTTTATATGTAAAGTATAGATTACTTGTATATTTCTCAAAATAAATAAACAAAAAAGAATCCAACAAAATGATTAAGAGTCCAATCAAACTACCTATATCTATGTTACATGGATTCTTCCAAATATTTGTGAAGTACCCGTTTTGGACACTTGACACAAGCTAGGATATGGGATATGTGTCTGACATGTCTAGTGGGAAATGCACCACTCAAGAAATATGTTTTAGAAGAGCTTTTTATTTTATTTTTTTTGAGCAACAACAAAATTTTATTAAAAAATGTGAAAGAGAACAAGGAGTCCTCATACAAAGAGAGAAAAAGAGCGAAACAAAAACATAAAAATCATAGCCCTAGGGAAGGCAAACAGCAGCCCAATCCCTAGAGATCAAGAACAAGGGAACTCCTTTAAAAGGAGGGGATACAAATGCCCAAAATAACGCCAAATAATTCACCCTATCCCACAAAGCCTCTACACTTGCTTCCTTGCCATCAAAGATTCTAGCATTTCTCTCCAACCATATGGCCCAAAAAATAGCAAAAACAATACAAGTCCACATTGTTTTGGCTCTCTTGGTTCTCCCAAACCCTATAAATTGAATAATAAGCATTTGAATACAGTCGCGTGGAGCAACCCACTGCTCATCACATAAGCCGAACAGCCGCTGCCATAATACACGAGCCACCGGGCAATGAAGAAATAGATGAACCGCTTCCTCCAAGTTCCTCTTGCACATCACACACCATTAGGGGTGGGCAACGGTTTATCCGAACCGCTCAAACCGCCCAATCCGCCCAATCCGCATATAAATGGGCGGTTTCGCAAACATAATGCGGGCGGATGCGGTTTGAAATATGACAAATTTGCGGGTTGCGGGCGGGTCGCGGTTTAAACCCGCAACCCGCAAAAACCGCCCCCGAACAGCCGCTGCCATAATACACGAGCCACCGGGCAATGAAGAAATAGATGAACCGCTTCCTCCAAGTTCCTCTTGCACATCACACACCATTGAAGACAAAGAGAGTAATTAGGCCTTCTCCTTTGGAAAACATCATTAGTTGTTACACCTTTTTGAGCCAAAGACCACATGAAAAACTTCACTTTATGAGGGACGCCCACTTTTCAAATTTTCTTATGAGAAGGAAACAAGGGAATAGAGGGATTATCAATGAGCTTATCAAAAAAAGATTTACATGAAAAGACCCCGGAAGAGCCCAGATTCCACACCCTAATATCACAACATGAAGAAAGAGAGACCCCCTCAAGCACTACCAACAAAGATGCCATCTCCCACGCCTCCCTATCATTCAAGTCTCTAATGAAATCAAAATTCCAAGAGATGGGTGCCATAGAAGAGCAAGCCACCGACGCTATCGAAACATTTGAAGAACGAACCAACCAGTAAAGAAGGGGAAAAGATCTATCAAACGAGATATCCCCTAACCAAACATCCTCCCAAAAGCGAATGTTCACCCCATTCCCCACTCTCAACGAAAAGTAGTTAGACACAAAAGGATACAAACGAGAAATAGATTTCCACGGTGAATGACAATTGCCTGTATTAACCACATTAGAATCTCTACCATTGGGTTGAATTCCATACTTGCTTTTTTTAATAACTGAACACCATAGCGAATTACTTTCAATCGAAAATCTCCACAACCACTTGTCCAAAAGAGCAATATTCCTAACAATGATGTTTCCAATAGCTAATCCACCTTTTTCCTTAGAAGAGCTTTTTATGAAACTATGCATAAGACTAAATCATGAAAAAGTGCTATGGTGGTTTGTAAATACCATTTCACCCTAAATAAATGAAAGAAGTGTTGAAGAAATATAAAATATAGCAGTTTCCCAGTGTCCTTGGACATAAGGACTAGATGAATCTAACAATTGGACACATACCCACACCCAGCACCTGAGCCATGTAACATAGCTATATATTGCAGGCCTAGAGGACAACATGTGCAACGCAAGGCATTAAGTACAGAAGAAAAAAGAAAATATGAAGCCAATCTATGGGAACTCTTGATCAATTGCTCAAATTCCCCATGCTACCCCAGAACGAGAAAAAAAATATGGTCATAATGATGACTACATAAATTCCTTCCTCCTAAATTTTGGTTTAACAAAAACTTGATAATATTTTAACACATAAGGAGATGACTACATACTATCAACATCATTTATTAACATTAAATAAAAATTGGGTTATTTGCATAATTTTCATTCGTAAAAGTTCAATGCCATGATAAAACAACATAGCAGTAATTTAGGGTCATTCCAACACCTCAAAATCACATCGTTTAGTGGGTGTTTGGGGACCAAACAATCTCCGGATCATAACTGTCAAATCAGGATTCGAATAGTGAATCGAAATGACCTCATACTGAATCGTGAATCGTAAAGATTCAATCACTTTTTTCTAAATTACTTAGAAAAATATATTTACACACTTAGATGTTAATATATCTTGTGAATATGAAATATTTAGACTTAAAATGAAAATGTTATTTTGAATGATGATCGTGTAGTTTAATAGGTAATAAATTAACAAAGGTTCCTATGTAAGATTACCATCTAATTTTTTTTTTTTTCCTTTCCCTTTTTTAGATATTTCTTATCAACTATTCTTAACAAAGATAGTAACCAAATAGACAAAATATCAATTTTTAAAGTAATAATAATTAACAACAATATTGATATTTGAACAATAAGCATACATATTTTTGCAAGTAACAGTGACCAAATAATAAGAAAGAATTATTTAGGATTTTTTATTTTAGGGTAAATTACATTGACACCCCCTGAGATTTATGTTTATTATAGTTTTCCCCCTCACCTTTTGGAAATTACATCCCCCTCCCTGAGATTTAAAGTTTCATTACAAATTGCTCCCTCTAGCAATTTAATTTTTTTAAATACCAATTTGCCCTTACTAGGTAAATCACACTGACATCCCTCACATTTTAAAAATTACAATCCCCTCCCCAAGGTTGAAAGTAGCGTTACCAATTGCTCCCTCGGTTAGCATTAGTTGAAAAAAAAATTCATCGGAAAAAAAATTATTTAAAAAAAATTAATTCAAAAAAAAAATTTGTTAGTCAAATTTTTAAGTTTCTGTTTAAAAACCAACGTAAACTCATTTTTTGAATTTACGTTTTTTCCTCAAATTTACAAACGGAGACAACCATTCATAAACCAAAAAAATTATCAAATAAGATTTTATGACAGTTTTTTTAATTTTTGTAAATATAAATCGAAAACTGAAAATGAAATGGTTACCAAACAGGCCTTAGATGGTAAAAATGTCGTAAAATTAACAAATAATTAAATAAGTTACCAATGTAAGAAATGACTTATCAAAAGATTCTTAGGTTATATATGGTTTGATTTTTAGATATTTTTTTAAAAAATTCAAAATTAATTTGGTTAAGAAATAAAAAATAATTATCATTGTTATATAATTTTTATCTTTCGAGTGTAATAAACATAAATCTCAAAGGGTGTCAGTGTAATTTTTATCTTACGTTAGTTTTTAAACAAAAATTTAAAAAATTGACTAACAAAAATTTTTTTCGATTAATTATTTTTTCAAATAATTTTTTTTCCAATTAATTTTTTTTAATGAATTTTTTTTCAACTAATACTAACCGATGGGTCAATTGGTAATGCTACTTTAAACCTTGGGGAGGGGATTGTGATTTCTAAAATGTGAGGGTTGTCAATGTAATTTACCCAGTGAGGGCAAAATTGGTATTTAAAAAAATTAAATTGCTTGAGGGAACAATCTGTAATTAAACTTTAAATCTCAGGAAGGGGGATGTAATTTCTAAAAAGTGAGGGGGGAAACTGTAATGAACATAAACCTCATGGGGTGTCAATGTAATTTACCCTTTATTTTAAAACTTAAAACATTTTAAAAGGCATAACTAACCTCAACCATGTAATATTCAACTTCAATTTAATAAAATAGTAATAGATAATTCATTGTGTAGGTTACTTTAATCTTAAATATCTTTAAAAGATATATTATGATTTTTTAAAGGAAAAAAAATGAGAAGAAATGTTAAAACATGTCAGGTCTGATTGAATTTGATTGAATCATATTAAAAATTCCATCATCACTAAAATAATAACAAATCATATATATATTAGTTATTTTGGTATTAGACAATATTAGAAGTTGTCTTATGTCATTTTCACTAAAAAGATGGAGAAAAAAAAGGTTGAAAATATATCGGACACAACAATTTCAACAATTGTATAAATCGTAAAAAGTAAATCGAATCGTGAGTCGTGTGATTCACTAGAGATTCACTTCCAAAACAAATTCATCCATAAATTTGTATCGATTTTGCAAAAATTGCGAATCAAATCGCGAATCATAAGATTACGATAACAGAGCTCTGGATCAACATAAGAAAGCAAAATTTAAATAATTTAAGCGCCTAATAGAAAGAACAACAATAATGAACAACAAATTGCAAAAGTGTAGAGAAAAATATTTTATTTATGCAGATGTGAAATTTGATTGTATTTGCATTTCAACTAAGACCACAATTAAAAAAAAAAAATCATATGATCTGAGAAAATTCATTCCATAGAAGAGGATTTTATCCGATTGAGTTCTGGAACCAAATCCAAGCTCATTCAAACTAGATTAAGATGAAATTAAAGAGAATTGTCTCAATGAAGAGAAACTGGGCAGGGCTACCAACTTGGTAAAAAAAAAAAATCAATAAATTTAATTGATTGCACAATTTTTAACACCAAATGAGAAAAGAGCAACCCATCTAAATTGGTATATTCAGGGATCACTACTGTCTTGTTTAGGGGGAGAGGGGAGGTTCTGCAGAAAATGGGCTGGGAGACAGGGAAGAAGGAAAAGAAGAATGTCCAACAATGTTGGAAGCTGGATTTTTTAGTTTTCCACACATTATTGTTCTTCCCTGTAAATGATGATCAGATTGCATCATCATCAGTGAGGAGCTTACCGTCATCCACCTACACCTCAGAGCCACGGCACGTACATCTTTATCATTCAACATAGCTGCAATCTTAATATACTTCATTATACTGGGTTCGGCAGCATATCTACAATTCCATGCAAGAAAAAAAAATATTCATGAATATGTATCCAATAGAAGAAGTAAATGAAATCCATCACTGTGAAAGGGAAGTAACCTTGCGTACATATTCAAGAATTCATTCTGTCAAAAATAGAAAGCATTTCCACATTTATTCACCATGTTATATATAAAATGTAAATCAGCATCATCAATAAGCATTCTTAACCAAACACATGTAAAATGATAAATGTAGTTTCATTGCCAGCTTTGTGAAACAACGAAACAACCAAGATTTTTTAGCAGCAATAATGAGAAATTGTGACTGTAAAAGATATCAGGGCAACCTTGATGCAGAACAGTGCAAAACAGAGAAAGAGAAATCTTAGGTGTCAGCACATAAGGGGGTCTGGCTTCAGCAGCAAACATAATAGAGATCTCAAAGATTTTTGTTAATTTATTCCCAAGTCTCTCTCATCTGGTAGTGTTAGGAATCTGTAAGTATCCTCCAATCTCATCATATAAAAGACATCAAAACTCAAAACTCAAAATAATAATAATCTCAACCAGAATTTTAATCAAATAAGAAAACAACTCTATCTGGGTGTCTGCTAATCAGGGCCAACAGACAAAATGCTGCCCAACCACAAAATCATTGGGTGGGCCACCCTATTGTGTTGACGTCCATAATCTCATGTGTTTTGAGGCTTGGTGTTGGCACCAATTCACCAGGGGTGAGAAGAACTGGACACTAGCGAGTGTAACACCTAGAAGCTCTGGTATTATTCCAGCAAATCAGGTTCATGTTGTTGCAACTCAGCTCAGGTGATCCATGTGCAGTCTGAGTCAAGTTGTCCCTTCCAACAAACTAAGAACTGAAATTTCATCATTCCTATTGAAAACAATTTGCTCATCCACAATAGCATTAATATGTTCTTTTCAGGCAGAGGACATGGGCAGCGCCCAAATCAGGTATAGGGTTGTCATCTTGGTTAAGGGAAGGCTAATTCCATAAGCAAATCCTCAATGACATAATCCGTTGAAATTCCAAATAACATCGACAAGAATTAACTTGAATTTTATATTGTTCTTACTTGCTTGAATCTAGTTGCTAATCTTGTTATGCAATTCATGAACAAGTAGGCATTTGCTAATCCTATAGGGGTTTTCTAGGTTTGTAACCATGCACAACTTGAAACGGGCTCAAACCTATAGACATGTTAGTATAACTACTGTATGCACATTGGGCTTTAGGGAGACTGGAATCCCAGTTTCTATTGTTGTCACCCACCAGACATCTCAAGAAGTTTCCAAAACTCCCATTGCCAACTTCTGTTTGACCATCTGTTTGGGGGTGAAATGAAATGTTGTGGAAATTTTCAACTTCGTGCCTACCATATGCCAAAGTGTTTTCCAAAAATAGCTCATGAATCTAACATCCCCAATAGATACTATACTATAGTATTGGGGCGACAATATAATTTAGAAACCACTTCAAAATAATGTTTTGCAACTTTTGAGGCATTAAAGGTTTTAGAGCATGGAATAAAATGGCCATTTAAGAGAAGAGATCAACGACTAGGAAAATCGAATCATGCATCTTAAAAGTAAGTAGAAGCCCGAGCAAACAATCCATGGTTACATCTTGCAAAGGAAGTGCAGTGTAAAGGCCAGTGTTCTGTCTTCGATGTTTGGCTAACTGACACGCATGACATTGGTCCACTAATTTGGCAACATCTATCTTTAAGCTTGGCCAATTAAAGCATAGTCTTGCAAAATCTCAACTCAACAACTCAGCTTCTTTTATCAAATTTAGGTAGTGTACTTCGTGATCGGAATAGAGAACAAACTATGGTAGAAGATAATGGCACTAGCATCGTAAGGTGGCATACTTTCCATATAGCATAGAATCTTCTAGAGGACAAATTCTTGCACTGTAGCATAGAATCACTTTCCATATAGGTGGCATACTTTTGCTTGACGGCATTCAATTGGATGACGTTCCTAACTAAATACTTCACCTATGCCAATGCCTGACACATCACCCTCTGGGGTTGTTTGGAAATAGTATTGTTAGTGACTTTTTGGCTTTTTTATGAGGTGAAAAAAGTAAGTGTGTTTTAGTGTTTTTAGTGTGGCTTTTGGACTTTATGATTTTTTTAATGACTTCTTGGCTTTTTTGTTTTTTGAGCCTAAGAGCCAAGTTGCCAAACAGGGCCTTCAACCTCAAATATTTTTGTGATGTCTGGGAGATGCATGATTGGTGCCTCAGTCATTTTCCTTTTGATATCCTCAAAATGCTCCGGTAGCATTATCTCTCCACTTAATTCACCTTCTTCAAGCAATCAGTGATGGTAGACATAACAATGCTAAACCCTTTTATGAAGCGGTGATAAAAAGTAGTGAGTCCATAAAAATTGCAAATATCATGGATGTTCTTGGGCTCTGGCCACTTAGCTATCACCTCAACCTTCTGTGGGTCAGTAAACACACCTTCTAAAGAGATTATGACATCTACTTTTTTTTTTTTTTTTTTTTTTGATAAACTAAGAGACTATGACATCTATGAAGATGATTCTATTGGTGAAGAAGGAATACTTCTTAAAGTTGGCATAAAGACTAGATGTTGTCAAAGCCATACAAACTTGTGTGAGGCAGTGAAACTGTAGCTCTTTCGATTTGCAATAAATGAGGATGTCGTCAAAGTACACTACCAAGAACTTGCCTTTGAAAGGTTTGAGTCTAATAATAGAGATCTCAAATATTTTTATTAATTTATTTCCAAGCCTATCTCAGCTGTTAGTGTTAAGAGTCTTTAAACTGCCTACAATCTTATCAAATAAAAGTGTCAAAACTCAAAATAGTAACAACCTCAATCATATAAGGAAACAACTGTCTGGGTCTCTGTCGGTCAGGGCCAACAAATAACATCATTTGCCCAACCACAAAGTCATGGGGTGGGAACATAACGCCCATGGGCCATCCTTTTGTGTTGACACCTATAAACTCGTGTATGAGGCCTAGTGTCTGCACCAAACCTCTGACATATATATAGTAAATGTTGTTATTTGCCAGATAGCTGAAAGACCAAATGGTAATAGCTACGATATGAATAATCATCGACTTCGTAGGAAGGATAGAAGAATGGGACCAATGATGGGCATACAATGCATTCATTACACTTCAACCATTCCATGAAATTTGATTTGAGGCAATAAAGTTTTTCCTCAATCAGAGCAAGGCAATCAAACAAACGAAAAGCATAAATTGACTTAATAGAAAAAAGAACAAACACGACGCACGAAGATCCCACTTGCAACAAGGTCCCGAAAGGTAGCAGGTTGACGAAAATTATGTTAATGCAAGTCTTGTAAGACCACAAACAAAAAACATGTATACGTTGCAAGAAATTTAACAAACCCCTGGAACAAAGTACCTACTTGTCAAGTCCTTCCTCCAACCTTTGTTGTTCTTCAACAGACCACTCTGCAGCCATATCAGCGTCATGCTTGAGCCCTGGCACAGAATCGAGAAGAAAAGAACCAGAAGAACTCCCAGCTTGAGTCATTCCTGGATTATTGTTAATGATGCTGGAATTTCCAGAAAACACCATGCCTGCTGTACTATTTATCCCGTAATAATTCGCCATCGGGATCATATCAGATGTGCTGTTTATAGCACCTGACTGAAAAGATATAGCATGCCGACTAAAAGGAGAGCCAAAAGTTCCCCCATGGCGAAAACCCGTGTTCGATTCCGCCGCCATTTCCACTCTTATTTCCTTAAAAGCTAACTAATCATAAACACACCAAGATTTTCAAATACCCAAAAATTCCACAGGATTTAAATCCAATAAAATTTTAAAAATCAACCAAAGCTTCAGTTTTTAACATTTGCGTCAAACCTCCGCCTTATGAGACTCTGAAAAACCTCCAACTGGTGAAGAATCCAAAAGTTCACACACTTTACCGTCACAAAACTCTAGAATTTGTGCCCTATACAGATTCAAGCTCAATCACCCTCCCATACAACATCAAAGTCTCTCATATCGAATTCCCAATTGCTAATCACAATCCACCAAAAACAAAACCCTAGATTCCCAAAAGAAGAATCACCCACAAAAGTGAACTACAAATAGAACCAAAAAGCAAAAAAGGAAATTAAAAACCACCCAGAACCCAAGTACACAATCCCACTAAAGACCCTAAATTCAAGCCACAAAACCACCACACAAAAGCAGCTTCATCTTCAATCCACCAAATTGGACGAAACAACAAAAAGATTCACAGATGATTCAACTCAACCCATTTCAAAACCCAAAACCCAGAGCTTAAAACTTATAGACGATTAGTGATTTGTGAAGAGAGAACAAAGAATGGTTACCTTTCTAAATGCACAAACTTTCCGAATGAACCCTAATTGGTTCTGCTGCCTTTATCTCTCTCTCATCACTACTTTTGCTTTTGGGGTATTTTTGTTTTGAGCTTTCTCGCTCTAACTTTCCCACTCTTTCTCTCTCATCTTGCTCTGTAGAGGAATGAATATGCTACATACACTACATTGAGGAAGAGCCAATGAGAAGGAGAGCAATGGGAAAAAAGCTAGGGTTTGTGGGTCATTTAAATTGGTGAATGCGTGTGGGTGCGTGCAGATCTTGGAATTCAGCAATAGTGCGAATCCCAATAAGCATTTGATGCCAATTATTGTGACCCTCTCCCATTTATTAAATTTTTGTGAAATTATTGCATTCTGAATTTATTAGAGATGAACTTCTCAATTTTATGACAAAATTGGATTCATTTTAATTTATTTTGATAATTTAAATTATTTATTTTATATAATTAATTAAAAAAAATTATACACGTAAAGAATGATGTCAATTCAGAATTGATTGTTATATTATTAAACTATTTTTATATATACGACTTACATATTTTTAAAAATAAATCATTCATACTTTATAATATATACGTGATTTGATCATGTAAATATTTATACTTGATCAATTTAGTTTTTTTGCATCTATATTTTTTTCAACTTGTCATATGAAATGAACGGTTCAAATTATTGATATAAGTACACATTAATCCTGCAATGCACCAATTTCACCTATAAAATTGAGATTTTTAACTTTATTAAATCTGAACTCCTTCCGTTGGTGATCCAATTAGAGAAGGTTATTGGACTTTGTGTACCCATTTCAAGGAGAAATTATTGGTTGGTCTTAGGGCACTATCACGTGATATCTCAATGATGTTATAATTGGTGAACATTGTAAGGTTCAAAAACTTGTGTTGAATAATTAAGAAACATGAAGGAGTATGGTGAATTGTAATTGATATGGAATATGGTCACGTGGCGCTTCAAGACCAACCAATAATTTTTCTATTTCAAGACCCGATAATTTAAAAATGTTAATTCTATAATTGTTGATAATATAATTTATGTAAAAAATTAAGTTGATTTATGAAATTTGACAGCGAATATGATTTCAGAATAAACCATCTATTTTTTTAAGACAAATGTAATATGATTATTCTGTTATAAATATTCGATCAAATTAATTTTTTTGTTTAAATATTCTTCTCAGCATATTCTATAAAATAAATAGTTCAGATCATTCAAAGTATGTCTAAAAAGCCCAACAACTTATCTATAGTTGAATCAACTTCTTGCGAGTATTAGAGGGGAGTTAAATCTTCTTTTTTTTCAAAAAAAATTATTTTTTATTTGTCAAATTTTGCTTTTTATATGCTCTTTTTATGTTTATGATGAATCTTATTTAAAATATTATGAGTCTTTAGAACTTTTTAAAAAGATTTAATTTTTTTTTTATTGTTGTCATATCTTGCTTTTATATGACATTTTATATTGATGATGAATCTTGTTTAAATATAATAACTTGTATTTATATGTATAGTTTTGTTGTGTAAATACACCACAGAAGTAAAATAAATAATAAAATATATTTGAGAATAAATATTTTTCTTTTATTTTAATAGAAATAAGTAGTATATTTACCTTTAGCAACTTTCGGCTTAGAACCCACACGTAATTAACTTGGGTACACAAGGACAAAGTATAAGGTTTTGTTTGGTTGTTTTTTCAAATTAACTTTTTAACAAGTGAATTTTCGCTTGATGTTTGGATAGGATACGCAAAATATGATTACGAGTGTTAATTCAAATTACGGTTTGAAAATCCATTTGGCATCTCGTAGTTCATTTCTCCGCTTTCAACGTGTCTGTCTTCTTCCTCTTTGCTCTGAAAAGCTTCCCCTTCATTCTCCATCTTCTCTGAAAATTTCCCGTGACCTTCGTCTTTCTTTCTCTTTTGATCTGAAAAGCTTCCATGTCTTTCTCCATCGTATCTCAAAATTTCGCGTGAACCTCATATTTCTTCTATGTATCAAACATCAGACATGGAAGCTTCGACTATCTGATAGGAAACTGAGTGGGAGGTGTGAGATGGGATGACTGGCTGGATGACCGGCCAGTTGACCTCCCGGTTGTCCCGGTCCGACTTCCTGCTCTTCGACTATCTGAAGCTAAGGTTCAGAAGGTTCAGGTTGTTTTTATTTTTTTTATAGAAAGGCTGAGGTTCAGAAGGTTCAGGTTGTTTTTTATTTTTTATTTTTAATTTTTATTTCTTATCTATTATTTTTTTATAATATTAATAATTTTTTAATAATATTACATCCGTATACTGAATTACTAAATTAATAACGTGTAATAAATGAGAAAAAAAATTGATAATGTTTTGTAAGGTTTAGGTTATGATTTGTATTTTAAAATATTACACTTAGTGTATTTATGTTAATTTTTATTAATATGTATTCTCAAAAGTTGTTCACTTTAACAAAATTTTTTAAAAATATATAAAACGTATTGTAGAAGATGTTTGTACAGGCATAAAAAATAAATTGATAGAAAATTTAATTGACACAAAATAATTGACAGATTTATTTTAAAATAAAAAAAAATTGAAAAAAAAAATTATTCAAAAAAAATTACTGAAAAAAAGTATTCTCAAAAGTTGTTCACTTTAACAAAATTTTTAAAAAATATATAAAACGTATTGTAGAAGATGTTTGTACGGGCATAAAAAATAAATTGATAGAAAATTTAATTGACACAAAATAATTGATATAGATTTATTTTAAAATGAAAAAAAATTTGAAAAAAAAATTATTCAAAAAAAATTACTGAAAAAAATTAATTGAAAAAAAAATCAATTTTTAATTTCAGTATTTTAAAAATAGTTTGGTTATTACTGTTGATAAAAAATACGGATATCGATATATGAGTTGTGTGTTTGATTATAAATTATTGATTGAATTAAGTTTTGAAAACTATTTTCAAAACACATCACCAAACAAATTTTCTTATTTCACATGTCACATCAAACTTTCAAAACTTAATTCAAAATACATCTTCAAAACACATTTCAACACTCTATTTAAAAATCATAACCAAACAAATTTTTTACACTCAAATCATAATTCCACAACACACAAACTCAAAACACAACTCATACTCTCAAATAACATTTACAAAACTCTACCAAACGCTACCTAATATTCTTGCGCAACTTAAGCCTTTTTTAGATAGAGGGTTAAAAAAAATTAAAATTTTTTACTTTTAACCTATTTTTAGGTCACATCATCTCTTTATTTTTTACATATTTCAAAAAAATATATCACCAAACAAATTTTCTTATTTCACATATCACATCAAACTTTCAAAACTTAATTCAAAATATATTTTCAAAACACATTTCAACACTCTATTTAAAAACCATAACCAAACAAATTTAGATAGAGGGTTAAAAAAAAAATTTAAAATTTTTACTTTTAACTTATTTTTAGGTCACATCATCTCTTTATTTTTTACATATTTCAAAAAAACACATCACCAAACAAATTTTCTTATTTCACATGTCACATTAAACTTTCAAAACTTAATTCAAAATACATCTTCAAAACACATTTCAACACTCTATTTAAAAACCATAACGAAACAAATTTTTGACACTCAAATCATAATTCCACAACACACAAATTCAAAATACAACTCATACTCTCAAATCACATTTACAAAACTCTATCAAATGCTACCTAATATTCTTGCGCAACTTAAGCCTTTTTTAGATAGAGGGTTAAAAAAAAATTTAAAATTTTTACTTTTAACCTATTTTTAGGTCACATGGTCTCTTTGTTTTTTACATATTTCAAAAAAAAATCAAAATAAATAAAAAAACTAACTTTTAACCAACTTTCTAAAATAACTGTTTGATATAATGTAATATAATTTAATTTTTGAATTTAGTATAATATAATTTTTGAATTTAATTTAATATTATTATGAGTCTTTAGAACTTTGTAAAAAGATTTAATTTTTTTTTATTGTTGTCATATCTTGCTTTTATATGACATTTTATATTGATGATGAATCTTGTTTAAATATGATAACTTGTATTTATATGTATAGTTTTGTTGTGTAAATACACCACAGGCGTAAAATAAATAATAAAATATATTTGAGAATAAATATTTTTCTTTTATTTTAATAGAAATAAGTAGTATATTTTCCTTTAGCAACTTTCGGCTTAGAACCCACACGTAATTAACTTTGGTACACAAGGACAAAGTATAATATTCTTGCGCAACTTAAACCTTTCTTAGATAGAGGGTTAAAAGTTTTTTTTTAATTTTTACTTCTAACCTATTTTAAGTTATATCATCTCTTTATTTTTTACATATTTCAAAAAAAAATCAAAATAAGTCAAAAAAATTAAGTTTTAACCACTTTCTAAAATAATCTTTCTTTGTTTAAGGTGCGCAAAATAATTTTATGACATTTTTGCCCTTATATTTTTTAAGCATGATTCGTATGAGATTTTTATAATAGTTAGAGAATCATGCATGCATATATTTTATGTATATTTATAACTAGTAGATAATTCAAGCGATGTATGGAAATTTATTTTTAAAATGAAAAATTAATTGAGTTTTAATATTTTATGTATAAAAAATTTTAGCCATTGTAAGTCAAATACAAATAGATTTGTTAATGGCTGACAAAATTTTTTGTCATTGTGTTTGATTCTATGTAAAAGGCTTATAAAACTATTTTTTTTCAAATTTATAAAAAAAGAAAAAGAAAAGAAAAGGTGTATTCTCAATTTGCAATTAAATCCTCATTTGTGTTAATCAAATTTATCAAAAATCATGAATTCCACTTGTAACAAAATATTTTTTTTTAAAAAAAATAAAAACAACAAAAAATTATGTAATATACAAATTACGATTTGGTTATAACTCATAGTGTATTATATTATGATATATGTTTCAAAAGAATAATCTTAATTTCAATTTAAAATAAAATTTAAATTATTTATTTTAATAATCTTAACCTTATCGTTCTAAAAAAGTGTTACTTGAATACTTATATATAATAAATTTAGTTAAATTATTTGTTTTTCTTGATAATTTTAGTTCTATTGTGCCATAAATATAATATATATTAAATTATAAGATAATAAAATAAATACTCATTTTTATATTAAAAATAATAGTTAATTAGAAAGAGAATTTAGTAATATAAAAGTGATTCTAATTATTTTATTTTATTTTTATTTTTAGATTTATTTGAAAATTAAAAATAT